CTGAGGTAGAAAATAAATATTCTATCGACATAATTTTACCGGTTATTAAACCACATTTTAATATGTCTTTACATTAGGAAGATAAGTTACAATAGGACTTGCGATATCTATAGTCAATAATGGTAGACCATTCTCCCGGAAATCAAGTTAAAAAATTGAGATTACAAGAACATTTAATATATTTATTACAAGTAACAAATCATTTAATTTGTGAATAGTAGTAGTATATGTTTGTGACTTCGATACTAAAAAATTGCCGTTGTCACAAATATTGTCTTTTATTGTATAAATAATTAATAAAAAAACATTATGTAAGATTATATTAAATTAGTTACCTAGATAGGCGCAGCTTAATTATATTACACTCGAAATGGGTTTTAAATATAGCTTGAAGGGTAAACAACAATACTTTTGGAAACTAAATTAGGGTGAACAAAATTAAAGTCTACCTATTTGTAATTGTATACGCAATACTTCTCATTTGGAGGAAAATTTGCATGATCATTTATATGTGTATGTTGCTTTCCATTATTTTTAATCATACTTAAAGACATTATACCAGTATTATAAAGACACATACATAACAATTTTGACGACGAGTATTTTTTTTAGGGGACCGTAAAACGACAAAGTGGGTGGTTCCAAACCTTAGTTAATAAAATATTTTCAAAGCTGGTTAACATGAAATAACTAATAGTATACAATAAAACACCATCTAAATAAACAGGACCACACTTCCCTTCAAATGGTCTTCAGTTTTATAAAGATGATAAACCTATAAAAGAGTACGTTTAACCTATAGTCAGACTAATGGGTGTTTTTCTACTACCCTTAAGTGAAAACTCGCTAAAATGCGAAATTAGATTAAATTGGCCATTCACAATTTCTCCCGATTCAAACAGTGTACCAAATATTACAAATAACTCACCATATATTACAAATAATTTACCATATGTTTTATATATATATATGCAATATACATACATACTAACATATATTACATATTATAAACTTACCATATAATACAAATAATTTACCATATGTTATATATATATATATATGTGTGTGTGTGTAATATACATACATAGTAACATATATTACATATTATAAACTTACCATATATTTGTAACAGTGTTCCTGTCGTCAAACAATATAAATCTTGTCCAATCACGTTGTAGAGATGAAGCAAAGCGTATCCTCGACGATTAGTTCTACATTTACACTCTCTTATATTTGAAATCTAACAAAGATGTTTTCCAAGAATTAACCGGAAGTTTAACAGCTAGAGCGGAAGTAGTCAACAGTTGGTAAGGTGGGAGTATGTTGTTGCGGCAGAATCTAGCAATTACTTGGCCTTGCGCGTGATTGGTGCAGCTCACGCGACCATCTTGGGGAGCAAACCTGCGAGCTCAGCGATTTTATTATAAACATTTCATTTTTGGATGATGACTCCAGTGGAGTTTTTGTGTATGGAAGAATCACTAATGCATTTAGGAAGAGCGATTAAAATCACCTTTACATCTCGAGACGTTAGGCTCTAGCCTGGAACAGTCCCCTAGAAGGTGATTGGCAGTATTTGAACCCGGAATCTTGGGGACCGATGTCCCACTCTACCACTAGACCAGCTTGCTCCCTGAGGGTCCACGGTTATCACTAAGGTTCAATCAATATATATATTTAAATATTGTTAATATTATGGTAACTCGTTTTAAGAATATAGACTGTCTAGCAAGAAGAAAGCTCTTTGTATGTACACCAGGAGTAAAATCCAATGTGTCACTAACTAAACCTCTAGGAAACAGGGACAGCTAAAAAATGCTAGGTACAAAATACCAAAGCACATTTTCCAGCTCCCCTCGAACTATTTTAAGTACAACCCTTCTAAATGGTTTCATTACAACATCTCGAATCTTTTAAGGAAAATACAAAATTTCCAGGAAATTTACTTTTGATTCTTATCTAGCACGCACCCTATCAACCCCAAGTGGTTCTTTAATCGTTGATTAAAGTAAAATGTAAAAATAGCGGCATGTTTTACATCATTACATTGAATTGTATGTTTTAGCTAAGAGATAGGCTGCTTAACTAACCCATTTACAATCATTCCCTCTGTCTCCCTAAAAAACTAACAAAATAGTCCTTAATAGTTACTTGAACATACTTTAATTTTTTTTTTTTGAATTCTGGATGATTCAGAACATGTAAGGTTGTAAAAAAATTAGAAAGCAGAAAGTGGTAATTAATTATAATTTTTAGTGTAATTAACCATTTAATACAATACTCAAAACACATAATTTTATGAGGAATCTCTACTTATCTAAGATTTTTTGAACAAATTAAGATAAGCTCCTTTACATTATGACTAATTAAAATCTTTTCCTTTCCCCATCCAGATTCATGATGTGACGTTTCCCAGCCAAAACTAACTAAAACCAACGTCGTCCCCTACCAAAGCTTTGCAAATTCGTCCCCACTACTTTTTTCCAATTGGTCATGGTTTCCTGATTTATTTTTAGCCATTGATCAGACTGCTTTAGTTTCATTGGCTGTATGTATAGCTTGTAGTTTTCACTATTAACTATTTTCACTACCTTAAATTCAATTTGAAAATTCATTGTTGTAAAATAAAAAAAAAACAAATGTATTGTCACAATATATTAAAGAACAATCAAATTAAAGTGAGAAGAGCGCATGTTTTCTTTCCTAGATAAATATGAACATGATGCTGAATCCCATATTAGCTGAATCTGAGTTTGAAAACAGGATAAGAACACATAATATTAAATTGTCCTATAAAAGTACCATAGCTAGATAACACTAACACTTAGTTTAAAGATATCTTTGATTTATTCCATATTTTCTTCATTATAATAATTGTAACTAATTAATGAGTAACTGCTTACTTATAATACAAATATAATAATTAATTATTAAACTGGTTGGCTGAGAAGGAAAATCTAAATCGGACCACTATTAACAAAATGTCAGCTAAAAATTCTTAAGGCACTGATTATTAAAATAATTTTTAACTGCCATTTTGTTATTAGTGGTCGGTTTTCTATTTTATTTATGTTAATTTTTATTTTCATCAATACCTGTAAAATTATATCAAACTCGACCATACTTCCTGTTTAAAAATTTTGAGCTACCCCCTACTACCACTAAGGAGAAATTTGTCAAAATTACCCATCATTGCGCATCATTATTGTAGCCTCTCATATAAAAAAAAGTTACCAAAAACCGATTTAAAATATCTCAAATAGTTAAAAAAAAGTTAAGGGGGGTGCAAGGTACTTTTCAGACACCCTGTATAATATAACATAATACAGTAATAATAACTTTCTGTGTTTCACTTCTAAGTCAAATTATGCTTTATAGTCTCGATGATAATAAATGGTTTGTACATAAAACACGTATTCCTCACGTTTTCAATAATTATAAGTTTTTAAGGATCCTGGGTTGACTATTATAATGGTTTAAAATAATACCATAACAAATTATGAAAACGTAAGAACGTATATCTTGTTATTGAACTATTTTTATAAACTAACACGTCATGTTTTGGATGGGTTTACCTCGATCCACACTGGACGACGCACCTAGTTTATTATATTATATTTAATATATTTATTTATTTTAGTATCTGAATCAAAAACCTAGAAATCCAAATGTTTTCCACTGAAGAGGAAGCTGGAAAAATTGATTATTAGAGTAACCTTTAAATTTGAGTCATTCTCCGGACATTTTTATAATATTAAAAGCTTTTGGCGAATTGAAGTAATATTTTTTACCTTGATGTTTCTTTCCCACATGCTGATATTTATTGGACCAAAGGTTTTGTGGGTTAAGAATTATTTAACGTTAACAGTTAATTATCCTTTGAGAGATCGATCAAGATTTAGGCCATAATATTCTTGTTTCCAAAACCCTTAATAATTAAGTTTAAAATAATTTCTATCGCTTGTACTGTATTACATTTCGGTCGGAACCCATACTGATGTTGATTCGCACAGTTGTAAAGTTACACACGGGTCCATTATTATCTTACCAACAATTGGAACTATCGCTATGGACCTATAACAACCAGCATTGACTAATTTCGTGGAGTCTGAAAAGTCACTTTGGAAAAGTACTATATTTACTAAGCAAGTCAGGAAATGGATAATAATGTCACCAACTGATTTTAATACATTATTAGGTATACCAAATTTGGAATTTTGGTTATTAAATATGCTGGAATTCGTTTTCAAAACCCTTAAGCAAGTCAACATAACTATAACAACTTGTCTATACATACACTTGGTTGAACATAATTACTTGTAGACACATTAGCAAAATAATAATTTAGAATATATAGCACCTGATTCCTTTTTATAGCTTTCCAGGGCAAATGTCACTTGTTTTAGAATTTTGTATAAAATCATTATTAACAATTTTCTTTGCATTGATAATTTATTTTTTATAATTTTTTTAAAAGATTTTATGTACATATTTTAGTGTGCTTCATTTGCAGTACATTTCCATGTGCCATACAATATGAGCGTAAGATTTCGTATAGCTTATAGTTTTGTAGGGAACAATTTGTTATGTTGTGTCTAAGAGATCAACTGGGTATATACTACTAGCATCAGTAATACTACTAGGAATACTATTCTTATCATACAATCAACGGATGTTTATATTGTGAAATGTGTTTTACTCGACCTAAAGAGTCTGGAGTATATGGACCAAAACCTAGTGATAATTCAAATAAAATTATTCTTTGCACTTTAAAAAACAAGTACAGTATTAATGTTTGTGTCTGAAGGAAATCTTTCAATAAATGACTAGGTTAACCCTATATTAACCATATATGGACAACAAATAAATGGAACATACGGCGTTTTGGAATCTAAAGAAAAATAATAAACCATGCTTAATATAGATCGAGGGCGCATATTTACATAGACGAATCCATAAAACACAGTTTGACTATAATTGTTTGGTTTTTTATATAACAGGAACCCCACCCAGTGAAGGATGGCCAGTTTTGGTGTGGTTTCATTCTGGAGACTTCATGGTTGGGGCCCCTCATCTTTGGGACTTTTCTGTCTTTGCAGTCAAACAAAAGGTTTGTAGATAAAACGTATCTAAGAATAAGTACGTCACGAAATTTGTTGGTTTGGGTTCGTGTTTTAATACGAAGATATGTTTAGTTTTATATTACATCACATTCGAGAAAAGATACGTTTAAAATATGTTAAATATTCAACAAATTTAAGTGAACACTTAAATCATTCTCAGTTCTAATAGAGGAATGTCAATAACAACATGACGTCCCTGAGTCTACCTTATGGATATTTGGTGACATCCTAAAGATCCGGCTTTTTGGGTTATGATTTATAAAGGGTGACAATTAAGTCTTAGGAAACTTTATCACTTTGAAACGAAAAGAGATATATCAACTAAATTTGGCATATTATTGGTAATAGTAAGCTACTTTTTTGTACATGGTGATCGGATGTCACCCAAAGAGAGTAAGTTGAAAGTCCTAAATGTAAGCATAGGCTGATATGTACATCAAATATAGGAACTACATCACGTTGAACTAAAAATGCTACAAACCGGACCTCAAATGGACAATCGAACAAAAAATGACAGCCCAAAGATTCATTGAATTTGCAATGCTATTGTACACCAACTCCTCGGGGCCCACCCACTAGGAGAAGCAAGAAAATTATAAAGGTAAGCATAGCTCGATATGCACATCAAATTAAAGTTCTTTATTAGTGGAATACAAAGCTGCAAATTTTAGCTGAACAGATTAACTGTGTAAAAAATGACAACCGTTCTAAAGATTCAAAATGGCAGATTCTAGAAATATTTGAACGGCTGCCACTTTTAACTCAGTTCTCCATTTGAGGTCCGGTTGGAGGCATTGTTTTTCATCTAACAAGACCATTAATTTGATGTACATATCAACCTATGCTTACCTTAAAGATTTTCAACTTAATCCCCATGGGCCCTCTCCCGTAGAACATCCGATCACTATTTACACAAAAAAATAGCTTAGGTAAATGGTATAGGTAATGGTAAAAGGTATAGGCTTAGGTAATGGACCATTGATGACATGCCAAATTTGTTGTGATATCGTTTTTCTTGTTAAAGTTATAAAGTAGTCCTTAGACTTAATTGTCACTCTATCCTTCACAAATTTATAGAATGTGATCCGCAATAACAAAAACACAAATAATTAATACGAAAAAGTACCAAGCCAATCAATTGTCAATAATAATAATAAACTAAATGCACTCGTAATAGGCAATTATTATTAATATCCTTGACATAAATAGATTCTATTAGTTTCTAACGGTTTACAATCAATTTCTCAACTAATGGTTGGAGCTTTACACGGGAACTGTACATATTTAGTTTGTAAACAACTGATAAAAATGTGCTGTTATTTTCATTATCTACACAGGGTTGTCATAAATAATAAATGTGAAAATTAGAGGCATAGTTAAAAAATGGAGCAGTGTACATTGTGCAGATATTTTGCATGGCTGCTACAGATGTGCAAAATATGGGACAAAATATTTTATAACAACCTGCTTGTACCTATCTATGAATTTTATTGCTTTGGTAAGACAGTTAAGCCACACATTTAATTAACGTATATTCTGATTGTCAATGCAATACACAGCATATTTTTGTCTCCGTTTACAATTCATATTTCTTTGTACGGGGGGGGGGGGGTTAAGTCCAATAGAATCTTATTATTATTATAATTATTTTTTTTAGAGGTTGGCGGCCTCTTTTAACCTTGCATTTGCCCGCCCACATAGACTACAGATCTGTGCGTGGAACGTATCCAGCAAAGCAAGGGGTGAGCCGGCACAGTACAAAGGTGAACTGTACTGATAAAATGTTTGTGGCAGTGACCGGGATAAGAAACCCACGACATCGCTGCCTTGGGCCCAAAGTCCGTGACGCTACCAACTGAGCCACCGACTCGCCAATATCCACTGACTCACCAATGTGAGATTAAGAAATGAGATGGTGTTCCTGTATTGTTTTTATGACAGCTTGTCAATAAGCAATCTTATTTTAAAATATATTGTTTTACTCTTTTACACCTGTTCTGATTCATTTAATTTCTGTTGTAGGTGATAGTAGTGACACCAGCATACCGCTTGAACGTGTTCGGCTTCTTCACGACGATGGATGGCATGGCTCCAGGCAACTTCGGACTATTGGACCAAGTAGCAGCCCTGGAATGGGTTAGACAGCAGATTCGTGATTTTGGTGGGAACCCTGCTCGGGTGGTGATTGGGGGCCACGGGGCAGGGGCAGTCAGTGTCGGGCTGCATCTCGTTTCTCCCCTCTCGGAGGGAAAGTTTTCAGCAGCAATACAGATGAGCGGGAGCCCCCTCGCACCGATGACCATAAAAAACCACCCGAAAAGTCTAATTTTGGAAATCGGTGACAACTTTGGCTGTGAAGAGATGATGGTGTGTCTGCGGAAGATCAGTCCTCTGATAATGCTGATACAGACGGGTAACGCTGCCGACTGGGGACCGGTAGTGGACGGGTACTACGCCAACAACACTGCGGACGCCTTCCTTCCTCAGCATCCCGCTCAGCTGTTTGAGGAGGAGCGTTTCTCAAAGGTCCCACTCATGATTGGCTACACGGACATGGAGGAAGCTCTGGAATTTAGCAAGAAAGACCCCCCTGACAGCGACTTTGACAAGGACGCATTTGGGACGCTTATAGGTGACACGGCCTTAGAGGGAGTATCTGACCCGGAGGACAACGAGACGTGTTATCTTGACAGGACTTTTGTAAGAGACTCTGTATCTTTTTTCTATAACTCTGAACCACAGAACACAGACGGGGTACTACTCAAGCAGAAGTACATGTACTACATGACCGAGAAGAAATACGGTGCAAGCGTTTTCAACCAGTCCACAGCCATCAGCAACTTCAAACCCGTGTATCTGTACAGGTTCGACTACCGTATGAAGACTGCGGGAGTTCTAGACCTTCAAGATTGGATGACGGCGCCACGATACGGTGAAATACCTTTTGTTTTCGGAATGCCTTACTGGACATCGATAACATCTCAGATAATCTGGAACAGTGCTGACAAGAAAGTGGCAGACAACGTCATGAGTCTTTGGGGAAATTTTACTAAATTTTTCAATCCAGCGCAACACGGGCGGGCGTTCAAGTGGGAGACCTTCAACCCTGAGAGCCCCGGAGTGATGATCATAGACAAGGTGTTCAACATGAGTGATTCAGCGACAGTTAACTACAAGGCTCTCTCCTTCTGGAACGAATACTTCCCGAAAGTTGTGAGAATCGCCACTCAATGTTGCAACATGACGAATGAAGCGGTCAGATGCCAGGTCAACCAGCATTACATAGTCTTGTATTTCTGGACGATGTTTGCGACAGTATATACCTTAGCAGCGATATTTTTGTAATACTGAAATCAAAACTTAGTTGTAAATAAACACAATAACGCTGTTGCCCTTAATCAAAATGTATCAAACTTTTGTATTGACAATATGTTAGTGCTTTAGATAGCAAATACAATCAAAAATGATACATGTAAGTACGATTATCTGTCCAGCAATCGATGTGATATTATTGTAAATATGTAAGCATTACAATAAAATGTTTTGTACCTTACATGTGTTAAATTTTTTTGACTACGATGGTAAAAAAAAAAAAAAAAAAAAAAACTGTATTGATGTAGGCTAACAGTTTTTGTCTTCAATTTAGTGAATATTAGTTTGAGTGAGTAACCAACTAATGAGTGAGTGGACCAACTAATATGGCTATGTAAACTTAGAAAAAAATATTTTAGGAAGTATAATTTTGGTACTCAGTTTTTCTCAGCGTTTTCTTTTGTATAGTTGGCCTGGTGTCCCAACTAAGAAGTTGGGTGTAACATCCTAGTTACACGGACACTGGACAGTTACCGCTCAACTGATAGTTTGACATTGTATTAAATCAAGTCAATGGACCTGCAATCTGGAAAAAACGTTATAAAGAAAATAAATCATAATGTTCAGAAAGTACTTACTTACTACGTAGAAAATACTTAACATATCGAGCACAAAAATGTAAACGTAAATAGTATTAATTTAAACATAAAATAGCTCATAAATACAAGTTAAATGTATGTCACTACTCACCAGTCTAAAGTAAAACACATAATACATTGAACTATTAACTCAATGAGCTATTAAATAACTTCATGATAAGCATTTTACTCGTATGTGTGCTGGTGGTATTTCATAAAAATAGTAGCACAACTGTATATCAGAACCGTTCACATACAATAAGAGACTGATTGTACAATTAATAATACTATTAGGTCTGGTGATATAAAATATGCCATTGTAGCATCGTTTATACAATGTACCCGGGACCGAGCTTTGCTCGAGGAATATCATTAGTGCACCTGATACTTTGAAGGCAGTCTTTGCTCAATATAATGTATCAACATCATCTTTTTAATATATTTTTTATCTGCTATAATCGCTAGTATTTTACAGTATAACGAGTATTCAGTTTGGTCCCTTCATATTCGATATATCATGGTTATACTGTAATTCACTTTTTTAAATAATCAGCAGTTATGATTCTCGTATATTGTATACATTTCTTTGTTATTTTGTAACAAACAATCCAATAATATACATGTTTGAAGTAAATATGAAATTTATAAAAATATAGAATTTATTTATAAAGCAAAGGTAAGGCTCATTTTAATAGAGAGTATAGAGAGTAATAGAGAGTATTATAAATGCTCCTGAAATGATAAATTGATTTGTTGTTGAGTATTGTAATTAATTTATAACAACTATTCTAGATCAATAGTTTTACTGATGATTTTTTATTGATCGTCATATAGGCATAGTCTTGAGTTAGATATTCAAAGGTTCTCAATTTCCCTGTTTAATAAAATCTTCAAGTTTAGTTCTAAGTAAACGTCTTAAAAGACTAAGTCTTCTAACCAAGTTTTTCTTTTCAAAAGCATTCTGGAGAATATCCTTAGCTTCTATAGCACTGTTAGCATTCCTAACGTAAGGATAACAAGTTGGCAAAACATTTAAACAAATTTTTGCAAGAGCCTATTGATCCCTGTTGTTATCTTTAATTTCACTATCATCAAGAGATACACAATCCCAAAGTCCATAAATTATTAAGGCCATTTTCATTGAACACTTCCAATTATTATAATTTGAAACACCCTCTATACGTTCAATATTACAATTTCCTCCCATTATATTATTTGTCATATTAGACAATCCTGTATTACTTGAGTAAGGTGTTATAGTAGGAGTAGTATTAATGTTTTCTTGTGTAGTTGCCATTTTAGGTAAAATAACATAAAAATTCAAGATATTCAAGAGTTCAAGATATTAGGTAACAAAATATTGTTCATAAGCTTGGAAATCTTACCAAATACAATCAGTCCTGAATTCTTCATTTTAATGTAGTTTTATACATATGCAAAATGAATTATATCAAAAACGTCTTCTGGGCCCGTAACCTGACGCAACGAGGGAATAAAATACTTTATTAATAATTTATGTAAAAAGGAAAAATATTAAAACATTAGAACAACATAACTTAATCAAGCAGCTGATATAAAAAATACATTATAAAGATATTTTATTATATAGCACAAACAAAGTTATACTATATAAAGTCATCAACACTAAGGTTTGTATACATATTATGGCAAGAAAAAGATTTGTCCAGGTTATACCACTGGTCTAGAACTTTTTTATCGCAGAATCTAGTTATACCGTAAGTATAAATGTGTTTCTTGGGTCCGATTCTGAGATCGAAGTAACAAATAAACAAACTTTACTCGTATTATGTACTGTCTTGAAAATTGTTGCATTATAAGCACAGAACAAACAACAACCTAGAATAAACAAATGCTGTTAATTTATTTTATTGTATGAATGAAGATACGTCGAAAAATTGTTGGAAGAAAGATCAGTATTCAGTATATACCTCTATTCGTGATCAGTATCGACGAATCAGCGAAGTTATTGTACGAGGAATAACTAACAACAAAATAAAAACAACAAAATAAAAAACTCGTACGTAGTGATAAAAAACAACCGATGCATGTGTATTTTTGAGGAATGACTTGATGAATGAAAAATATACAATCCAATTGTCACCTTTGACTTTACTTTTTACAGTTGAAACTGAGAAACTGTCATATATTGTGTTTCGCTTCATAAGGTTTAAACCAAGGTACAAAGGCTATCGTAGCCAGACATCGATTCTACCTAAGGGACGAGTGAAGCGTCTGCCTATAAAATGTATCAGGGGTGAAATAAACTAGACGTTGTATCTTGCTAGTTCCTAGTATCAGTTATAAATAGGTATACTATACTGTACACCACATACTCTGATAGTTTGTAATAGAACTGGTATTTCATGTCCGAAGTCAAATCTATTTCATCGATCATGTCTACACAATTTCTAGATAAGTCATATATTAGCATACTTACTATTTATGGATGGATAGTAAAAACAACATTTCACAAGTATCAAATTACCAGATGGATGATACTATAATAATTTATATTACTTGACATTTTCATATTTTAATATATTATCATATCATTATCATATATTATATTGTTGTAGGTCTCGTGCCCAAACCCTCGAGAAAAATTGAAAAAGTAGTACTTTTCATATTTAACCTCCCAAATTTTGAATTCCCTCTCCATGTTATTCTTATGGGGAATAACATTGAAAGTTACTAACTTTCGTATACTCATCTAAACCTTTTAAAAACGTGCTAGAGACTTGAAATTTGATGAGGGTGTGTAACGTCGTCACCTAAAATTATCTAGAATATGACGAAAAGTCCCATTTTTAAATTTAAACCCACACCAAAATCCAAAATGGCGGACATATTAAAACGAAAAAAACACGTTTTCTAAAACCGGCTATTACTAAAAAAAACGGTAAGAGTTAGCAAAAATTTGAAAGAATTTTCACGGTTCAGGAATTACATTTTCTATCAAACACTCTTCTTCGTTTACCGAAAATCACACCCCTTCACCACCAAAACACGCTTAATTAATTATTTCAAATTATTAATGGTTTTCGATTCTCTTTCCTACCTAAGTATTTTGTTTTTGTAAATATTATTAATGCAAATTGGGAATACCATACCGTTATTCTCCTTAGTTTACTTTAAACTTTAGTCTCAATATGTTTTTTCGTAAATTTACTTCTTGTCCCTCCAAACAGGAGTCAACAGCGGATGGCGAACACCGAAATGGCAGACGCAAACACCAGTAAGGTTTTGGCACTCCAGCATTTGAGGATTGGATGGGGTAACTGCAGGCTGAGACGGAGGGTGGAAGTAACGAGGTGTTTTAAATGCCTTGTTTTCGGCCATTCCTCCCGAAACTGTCAAGGGCCCGACCGAGGCAAGAACTGCCTTCGATGCGGGTAGGTGGGTCACACTCGTAGGTCCTGTAAGGAGAAAGGCCTCAATGATAAAAAAACGCTGAACACATAGCTGGGTCTGGGCAGTGAAAGCTGTTCTTCAACAAGCGAAAGCCCAACCACAAAGATAAGGATTCTCCAGTGCAATTTAGATCGATCCAGGACGGCTGACGCGCTTCTCAGCGAACAGTACCAGTACCGGGATAGGGACCCATCTTTTTGGTTCCCCGATACACTTGGCACTGTTGCTTTCTGGGCTCGTAATACAGCAAAAGTGCAAGTGAGGAGTCACGCGAAGTGCCGAGGATTCGTTTGGACCCGGTGCAGGGATGTCACTTACTTTAGTGTCTACCTCACCCCCATCGAGGCTATCCGTAACTCTCGCGAAAATATAGACCGCCTGGAAGTCATAGACGTGGCCAATTTCACCGAAGTCTTAAGGGGTGAGCCGATGGTACCTGCTGCACCTGGCGTGGCTTACGCAGAGACATCAGTTACATATTTGATGGGGCTGATTGTCTCGGCCTGCGATGAGTCAATGCCTTGCATGAGATCCCGGTGCAGTAAGCGATCTGTGTACTGGTTATACAGGTGGACTACCGAGATTGCAGAATTGCGTCGGGCAGCATTGAGAGCCAGACGTCTTGCTACCAGGGCCAGAGAACCCGAAGACGGACGTCTTAAGTCGAATGATTACAAGGTGGCTAGGAAGTCTTTTCGTCGGGCCATCAACCGGAGCAAACACAGTTGCTGGGAGGAATTGAGGGACGATATCGGTTCCGATCCGTGGGGCCTGGGCTACAAGCTTGTAACCAAGAAGCTTGGCACCCGCTCTCCACCTTCCGTCATGGACAGGGCCTCTATGGAGAGGATAGTAAAGTCCTTTTTCCCGATTCACACACTGCGCTCATTGCGGGAGTTCGGGAGGGTGGACGATATACCGCTGTTCAGTCTTGAGGAGTTGGAGGCTAACCTAACCTAACCTAACCTAACCTAACCCTGAAGAACCCAACAAGGCTCTTGGACCGGATGGGGTACCGGGTGAGACCCTTAAGAAAGTCTTTTCAATAAATCCCCAAATCCTTTTGAGCACGTACAATGCCTGTCTTGCCGAGGGGAAGTTTCTCTTCTGCTGGAAAACAGCTAGGGTTGTGCTCGTGTGGAAGGGAAAAGGAATCCCAGACCTACCATCCTCTTAAATACCTCTCTGTATGTTGGACACGGCTGGGAAAGTCTTTGGAAATTTGATCTGTTCCCGACTGAATTTAGCTGTGGTTGCTGTGGGAGACCCGTCCCCTTGTCAGTATGGCTTCAGGAAGGGACGGTCAACGGTCGACGCTATTAAGGAGGTATAGCGAGTCGTAATGAGAGCTGAGGATTATAACAACTTTACTATTCTCGTCGGGTTGTGCTGCTCGTGACACTTGATGTGTGAAACATATTTAACTCCGCGAGGTTGTGCGATATGCTGAATGCTCTAGAGAACACATTCCACGTCCCGGCATACCTCATGCGTATCATAGAGGACTATTTCCGGTTCCGCCTCCTCATTTATGGCACTACAGAAGGTCTCCGGACGATGGATGTAACTTCTGGTGCTGCTCAAGGATCCATACTCGGCCCGGACCTCTGAAACGTCGCCTATGACAGCCTCCTGAGGTCTGAGATGCCTGAGGAAACTGTTTTAGTTGGGTACGCAGATGACGTTGCGGCTTTAATAGCTGCACGTAGCGTTGAGCTTGTCCAGCTGAAACTAAATCGAGTCATGCGCACCATTAACGCATGGATGGTGGAACATGGTCTCTCGCTCGCTCTGAGCAAAACTAAAATTGTGATTTTGACTAAAAAGAGGATTGACACCATCGCGTCATTGAGGGTGGGGAATTTTGAAGTCCAAACCGCTCGTGCCACCAAGGAAATGATGGCGGAGGGTGAGGATAATTGGGCCTGTGTGTCCCATATCGTCCAGGGTATTCTCCGCGCCAAGAAGATTGACCTTGATCGATATGTGGTCTAGGGCATAAAATGACAGAATGCCGGGGCCTATGAAATCGATTCCCCCCTTATATCTATCCTATAGCCACCACTGGTGCATTGGTTTGAATCACGTTTACCCACTTCTAGATTAGTTAGAGATCTGAAATTTGGCACGATTGTAGGTCATGCACCAAATACGAAAAGTAACATTTTACAATAATAAACACCCCTGGAATATCGAATTCCTCCCACCAATGTTATTCTTATGAGAAATAACCTCGAAAGTGGCCGACTTTGGTATGCGGATCTAAACCGTTTAGAATCGTGCTACAGACTTAAAACTTTACAATAGTGTACAACGTTACCAAAAATAACCCTTAAAATTTTCAAAAGCCCCATTTTCAAGTCCTAACCCCCCCCCCAAATCCAAGATGTCGGATATCTGAAAACGACGTAACACGTTTTTTAAATACTTTTAAAGCACCTTATTTAATATAAACACCTTATTTAATGAACCGCCTATACTTAAACAAATTTAACATTTTTTTTATAAAACCCGATTCAACAAATAATTGAGCCCCCCCAACAGTTCTTGAACCACTGTCTTTCATCGTGGTAAAAACTTAAAATCTTTCACATTTACTAATATTCGTTTTAAAACCAAGGAATAATTTAGAAAAGTGTATACAATTTACAACCCCCTCCCACCAAATCAACCCCCCCCCTATAATTTTTCTGTATCAAAAACACTTCAGTTGCACTAGAAGTTGCACTAGACTACAGTGCTTAGTATTTTACAAAGTTCTTATTATTGTATTATTTTACTCAGTAACAGTTTTTCTCCGGGGATATTTCCAACAATTCCCCGACCAAAAAAGGGGACCGGGGGGCGGAGCCCCCAGCGAACTGAAGGCGAGTCCTTAATATACAGGGTGATTCTAAATTATGGTCATACTTTTGAAATTCTATAAATCAAAAAGTATACAACCTATCATCACGGGGTGAGAATCAATTGAAAGAGGAGATTCTAAAGTTTAGTTTGACACTTCTTTAATAAATATAGTTGCAAAATTAGCCTATACAGGCATTATTAAATTTGAATTAACTACTGTTTTAAATTAATTATACAATTACAAATCTATGAAACTCGAGGCCTAAAAAAGTATGGCTACAATAACAGGTCATTTAATATACAAGAGTATGGATAAAAATTAATAAATGCTCTATGTGCCCCCCCCCTGGCTGCACAGTACACAAACATACGATGATTTAAATTGTCCCAAACTCTAAAACACAGAAAACCTTTTGATTTTTGAAGGTTCCTCGCAGCTTACGATAATGGTGGACAACAATGACTGAGCAGTAAATTACAGAACTAATTGAGCCCTAGCAGCTTGAAACTTTTGACAATTCAACGTTGCGTATCATAGTAAAAATCTAAAGATGTCTGTAGACAGACGGCTAATTTTACAACTATGTTGACCAAAGTAGTGTCAAACTAAACTTTAGAATCTTCTCCTTCAATAGATCATCAACACATGATGATAGGTTGTATGGGTTTCATTTATAGAGTTTCAAAAGTGTAACAGTTATTTAGAATCACCCTGTATTTTATAGTCTTTTAATTTCAACTAAGGCAATCTACATCTAGAAGTGCTATTTCTAGCTTCAAAATACGTTGAACAATAAAGAATGTTTTTAGATTAAATTTGAAGAACTGACATGCAAGGAATCTTGAATACGACTAAAACCCATTGATCATACAGTTCTACATAAATATTAGGGCCTTAAGGTAAAGTTTGTTGATTTTCACAATAAATAAATTGTGATTAGACAATAGTTAAAACAAGATGCGGTAACACGTTTTGCTCAAGCCAGTCTCGTCACTGTTCCAGTCCTTGACTAGCTATTATTAGTTTTCTTTGACTAGTGACTGGCTATAGGCTGATAGCAGTAGGGATGGGAACTCTCTCCCAATTGTATACTAGTGTTGATAGGCTGCATGGATAGTCTCACGTTTGAAATTGTGTAAGATATTCCCACATATGGCGGTATTTATCGAACCACTAATTACACCTCAAATAGACATTACTTTACTTTCAACTCTTAGGTACTCAATCAGTATCAATATTGGTTGCAGACTTAGTTTTAAATAAGTCATTATTCTCATTTTCTTGTTTAAACTCGTGCTTATTCTTGTACAAGATTGACATTTTCATGCGGTGAGTACAATAAAGAGATTTTTTATTTCCTGTTTTAGATAAGAGATAACAGCGTATGCTTATTTTTAGTTTTTGAATATAAGTGTATTTGGATCTATCTGTGCAAATCTAAATAAACATTGACGTCTAAAAGACCGATAGCATTAATCTCTAATAGAAGGTCTTCTCTATGCTGACTGGACCAGATGCACTACTCTATGAGGTCTTCTAGGATGTCAGCACCTCTACTACCGACTTAACCACCTAGGTGTGTGTGTATTCTGTGTATATAGAGATATCTCCAGATACGTCTACATGACCGACAGCACCAACCTATCTCTTATAGAAGGTCTTCTCTATGCCGACTGGACCAAATGCACTACTCTATGAGGTCTTCTAGGATGTCAGCACCTCTACTACCGACTTAACCACCTAGGTGTGTGTGTATTCTCTATATCTCCAGATACGTCTACATGACCGAGAGCACCAATCTCTTATAGAAGGTCTTCTCTGTGCTGACTGGACCAGATGCACTTCTCTATGAGGTCTTCTAGGATGTCAGCACCTCTACTACGGACTTAACCACCTAGGTGTGTGTATATTCTCTATCTCCAGATACGTCTACATGACCGACAGCACCAACGAATCTCTTATAGAAGGTCTTCTCTATGCTGACTGGACCAGATGCACTACTTTATGAGGTTTTCTAGGATGTCAGCACCTCTACTACCGACTTAACTACCTAGGTGTGTGTGTATTCTCTATATCTCCAGATACGTCTACATGACCGAGAGCACCAACCAATCTCTTATAGAAGGTCTTCTCTGTGCTGACTGGACCAGATGCACTACTTTATGAGGTCTTCTAGGATGTCAGCACCTCTACTACCGACTTAACCAACTAGGTGTGCGTGTATTATCTATATCTCCAGATACGTCAACATGACCGACAGCACCAACCAATCTCTTATAGAAGGTCTTATCTATGCTGACTGGACCAGATGCACTACTCTATGAGGTCTTCTAGGATGTCAGCACCTCTACTACTGACTTAACCACCTAGGTGTGCGTGTATTCTCTATATCTCCAGATACGTCTACATGACCGAGAGCACCAACCAATCTCTTATAGAAGGTCTTCCTATGCTGATAGGATGTCAGCACCTCCAGGACTGAATTTACCACCTAAGTGTGTGTATTCTCTTTATCACCAGATACTTTTCTGCAGTCAGGACACGTGTTACACTAATTTATTACAAGTAATTATGTGGTACAACTCCAAACTCAAATTCAAATTGAAGGTATGTTCATTCTTTATTATGAACATAACTTTAAAAGGTATGATCAAATGAGGCTGGGTAACTTGGTGTCTGGTTTTATATTTACACATTAAACAACCAAATTCTTCGTTTGAATGGAAGGTAACATAAGCTATAAAATAAACAACTAGCCCTTACAATTTTCTACACCACCTTTGAACAGGAAAATAAATGATACGATATGAGATCTAAATATTTTGTTTTATTTTTAGTACATTTTGTAATAAAAATAGTTTGAAATATTTTAAAGCTAAATGTATCTTAGGAAAAGAACATTTCCTAAAGTAAATAATGCCAGTAACAATACAACTCTCATGAGAAGACCAAGTGCAGACAACCAAGTTAAATATAAATAAAGGGAACTAAAAACCCTCATAGCTCCTTGACATACGACCTATCTCCTATAACAAAGGATTAGCTAAACAGAACAAAAGTTTTTTTATATAGTAATTCATTTATTTAAGCAATGTTTAGTTTTTTTAAATTAGATTTAATTCCAAAATAACATTTTTAAACTATCAACCTATATGTTAAATGTATTCTTGGTTCAATTCTGGGTTTGATTTCGCATTGAACTATTTTCCAATAGCTACGAATATTAGGTTTTACAAGGCATTATAAAGATAAGGTGTTTCGTTGAGAACTGGGATTAGATCCAGAAATAACATTTATAATACACAATAATCAAAAGTATTGATAATTTTAGTACTTTATATACAATATTTCAGTACTTTTGAAGCACTGCTTTCATTCAAGATTTCTATTGAGGAAACTTCTGAACTATTTTTCTCTACCAATAGTTTGTAAAGGATGTCACTTAGATAAGCATCAAAATAAATTTACACCTACACAAACTTTGGTTATTTTTAGGCAATCGATTATATGGAAAAAGATTTTGTGTTTTTGCGAAGGTTTAAGAGATTGCGTGTGGTTATTAACACGAATACTAGAAAAATACCGGTATGGATCATAAACATAAACAATAGACGTTTTTGGCCCGTAAATAAACACAATTTGCTTAAATTGCACAATTTGCATTGCTTAAATGGAACTGCCAAAACATATGTTAATGCTATTAGTATAGGATTCGGGCCAACAAAGTCATTTGTTTATGCTTAAGATCCATACCGGGTCTTTTCTAGTGTTCGTGGGTTATTTATATCAAGTAAAGATATTGTGTGTGTTCATATTTTTCTTTAAAGTACAAAAAAATTATCAAATTATTAAAATATTTTGAATGTGGGTACTTAGGCTGGGTTAAACGAGTCCTTCTTTGGTTTTAGCAACTCATGCAATTTCCATAACGTTTTCGATAGCAATAATAAATAATCAATTATAGAATGTAGTATTGAATGGGAAAATATTCTATGAGCTCATGATAATTTTCAATGTCATATTTATCGTCCAATTTTAAAGTAACACAGACAAATAACCATAAAAAACTGTAGATTTTGTGCTCTATTGTAAGAAATTACAGAAAAACCCTCTAAAAAGTAGAAAGTAAATATTACGACTATTAAAAATAAGCAGTTGAGTATTAAAATTAAAATTTAACCAATTTGTATAAATAAGTGACCTCAGATAACATGTCTGGGTTACATTTTGTGACAGAACTATATTTTATTCTTTTGTGCCCCATATGTTCAACTACTTCTAACTTTGACCCTCTTATACCATACAAGTAGTCAACTGCTTATTAAAAAAACCTTAAGCGATAAACTACATAATATAGTATAGCAATATTCTATAGAAATATCTGGAGTTATATGTAAGGAAAATATATAATGATAGTTGATATTCCTGTAAAATAGAGACAAGTTACTTTGTATTAATTCGTTTACTTAAATAGTGGTGACTTAGAGTTGGGATTTTATTTGACATAATAACTACTTATTTTTCAGTAAAATTGTACATTTAAAAACAAATCAGTACGGTAATTTTTTCAGGGCAATTTAAAATCTAAAACATATTAATATAGTCTGTTATGTGGAACTTCACATAAGATTCTGTTATGTGGATGACATATCCACCATTTCAAATCTTAAATAACCAATGCAAAATGACCTTAGTGATGGCATAAGCTCTCCCCAAAAAAGTTTAATACCTGAGCCTTTTTTTTAGTTTTGCATATTGATTGAAAACAAATTAGATATCATTTCATGTATCTAATAAATCCACAGGTCCTATTTGGTAGAAATAATTAATTAAATATAAAAAGAATTAACTACATTGGAGAATTAATCATTGGAGACACTCCATAACATAATTCATCTGTGATAATCTAATTTAAAATTACGATATAGATTTCAAAATACTATCTTATAACATAACGATGTTTAAAAAGCTTTAATTTCCTTAATTACTCAATTGAAACAAACGAAAGAAAATTATGTTAATACTTATTTCACTTTGCTTACCAATATAAATAGGAAAGCCAATCTTAGTTTCGTGATTTTACAAAATGTATTATTCTTGACTTTACTTAGGCTAATTCCTTCTCATCCGAACTATCTACAAAGAGAATTGTATAAAAAATGTTCAATTAAATAACAGTGTTATAATTTAGTAATATGAATCGACACATTTTTTGGCAAATACTGAAAGCAGGTTTCGACATGATCAAGTTACAGCATTTATAAAATAGCGTTTTAAGAGGCTTTCTATAATTTGAGTCACTCTTTTTGTAGCCTTTGTAAAATTACATTGGTCAGAATTTCACAATATTCATTGAGAATTGATCGTTTTGGTTCGGAAACTCCAAACGTACTTAACTAAAGCTTTGGATCAAATTTCAATACAAGCACTTTAATTTTTACGAGTGACAGAGTTTTATAGAAAGTTCTTGTGCAAGAAACATGATACTCTGGAGTTCGTGTGGTGTGTTCTCAACCATTTTACAAATATTTGCGATGGGTTATTAAAATGTTTATATCACAGCACAGAGTTTATATACCCATTCTATTCTCTCTGCCTTAACATTAGTTCTACTGGACACATGTGTGTTAATAAATAGGTATTAACAACCAATTAACTGTGGCGTTACTATCGATTATGTAGTTAATAATTTAAAGATATCGTTGGAAAAGTGATATTACGATCAACCATTTTATACTATACGATCAACTTAACACAAACAAGGATTGCTTTTCTAATTGGTCTATAATATTTATTTACACTGTTGAAGTTAAGTAGTATCGTCAAATCAAACTAGACTATATTATATAAAAGTATCAACAAAAGTCACATTATTCAATGTGCGAATAGCAGTATCAAATTATACATTCGATATGGTATTAAGATTGGTAGGAAAACCCAAACATGATTTGTGTAACGATGGTAAATCGTTCGACATGAGGTTTGAAAATGGAATGACTGAATTTTGCAATCAACAATGGTAACTTATTGTCTACGATGAATTTTTGATTCACAAAAAAATATGGTTTTCATGAATATCTTTTCTAAAGTAGGCCTACTATAAAGGGTATGATATTTTGAGCAAGCAACATATTTTATTACAATACAGCACACTTTCCACCAATAAAAAAATTTTAGAACATGTATACCCATCTTTCGGCCAATCCAAACTAAACTGCATTATTCTATGTTAACTGTACTTAAAAAATTATCCAAAAGTGTTCGTAATCTTCCCCGACCTAAAGAATCTACATTAAAGTTAGTTTAAATAAAGTTGATTTGAAAATTGGAAGTTTATAGTGATAAATTCAACCAAACTCAATTAATTTTCCAATCAGATTAGGTAACTAATGTTTTGGTATCTCGAATAGAAAACACTTTCTACGTTCAAAATTTACTTAAATTGTTATAAATTTGGACGGGAAAACTTGTTTGTTATGGGCACTTGTATTTTATGCTTAAGCATCAGTCGCTCATATAACCATCAATGATCAATGGGAATGAATACTCGTTTGAATAGTGTATATGTTTAAGGACATTTTTATAGGCTTCATATTTTGACTGAGTCACGAAGCTCATCATTACTAGTAAAATATCACAAAGACTTTAACGAGCGAATGTCCAGTGCTCCAATGACTTTTAACACTCAGAACTTCTTTAAACAAATATGAGGCACTGATCCACTCACGCAGTGATATGGTGACCTCCTGTGCGACATAGACAAAGATCCACGTAAACAACGATCCAACATCGAAAAGATCTAAAAAATACAAAATGACACCTGTATAACATTGTAACTGAAACATAATGTGTTTCAAACGATACAAACTGTGAGACACAACAACGTCCGTTTAGAAACAGAAAACATACGACGGCCCGCCCGCTGAACCTGGGTTAGACCTGGTCAGAAGACTCCTCGTCGGCGACTCTGATGATAGGAACAGAGGCAAGAGTGACGTCATCACTCGGGGGCTCACTCAACTTGGGGTATGGGTAAGGCCCCAGAAGTCTCCTGTACGCAGTAAGCCGATGTTGTCTCTTACTGTCCAAATCGCACCTGCTGAACTCACGGAACAAAGCGTCCGATTTTTCGTCAACAGAATAGTCCCTGGTGTACTCGGTACGAACCGTCGCGGTGGAGGTCACTGAAGGTGGACACGTGCTGCCACTCAGATCTCTTCTCTTCTTAGAGGTAGGCTGACCCCCAGGTTTTCTACGACCTTCCCAGGGAGGACTCTCATAGATGGAAGTTGGAGGTGATCCCAGTCCTCCTACACCCTCGTCTACTTCCTCCGTGGTGTGCTGGCTCGAACATCTGTCAAGATAAAACGTTCTTAATAGTCATAGATACAATCCTTAAAATGTATTGAGAACATTTGTATTAATGTTATTTTGATATAGTTGAGGTAACGACTTAAAAAAAAACATGACGAAACACTTTGGACATAAATATAATATCTTAATTTTAGGAATTTACTTTTTGATGATGATCTCTTAAGATTCTAAAAATACAATTCGTTTGAACTTTTATATGTGGATACGTGTTATAAATGTTTTATACATGTATTTTTTATTCGGTCAAAACGTAGTGGTTGAGTGGTAATTTCTCATAGGCTTCAGAATGTTTTGGTAAACGTTAACATGTTCTATTCAAAATTGTATAGCCAGAAGAAAGTCAATAAATTTATGGTAATCATTTTTAAAGGAATTTTCAATTGAACAGCTCAATGAGGTATGCCTTTGAGTCAACAACACGTTTACCCTTCAATATCGATGTCGATGACAGAGATGCCCTCCTCGGCCTCAGATACGTTCTCGAAGCTGTCTCCAAGGGATGGTATGCGATGGCTGAGGGCGTGAGGGTCCTCACTGCTCGTTACATGCTGCTGAGGGTAGAGGAGTTTGAGCGTGTTGGGTGCTGGATTCTCCAAACTACGATACCCGCTGTCTGCCCTCAGATGCTGCAATCTGTGCACTTGCTGCTCACTCGGGCTATCAGTGTTGTCCGTGGTGCTCTCGAAACTGGTTGTAGCCTGAAATATCAGAATTTGTCGTAATAATTGTTATTGCTTGGTATTACACTATTAATCGTTATACTTTCGGTTACAGCACTTGAAAAATTACCACTACCATTTTATCGGTAAGAACAATTTTTTGTACTTATTTTAAAATCTTTCTGTTCGGGAAATGACAGCGTCGTTGGATTGGTGAAGGTAGTAGCCAAAGTTTTGAATGCGCAGCAGCAATTTATCTTTATCTACAATAATTCATTCAGAAGGTCAATATCTTGGCCAACTCATAGAGAATTAAGGTAAAGGGGAAAAATCCAATAGTACACTAAGGTGGTGTCTAGCAACACTTACTGGTGCCTCTGGCAAAGTCCAAACCCGTCCCCCTTCGCCCTCATGTACTACAACGCTCACGGTAGAGGAAGACCCTGTGTTCTGTGCCAAAGGAATTTCCACACAATACTCGCTCTGGGACACTTGCTTGCTCGTCACAAGTATGTTTCCAGCTCCGGCACAATATACTAGCGCTGAAAGCGCACGGTAGACTCATAAGCTAGTTTCCTTTGTACCTTGCTTCTCTGTCCAATTCAACGACACGGCTATTTCCCAAAGACAATTTGACAGTATAAATTGGCTGTGGAGCATACCATACATCGTTATGCTTATGGTTATTACCTGGAATGTCACAATTTGTTGTTTTAATTTTTTTTTTCAGGCATGTCAATATTTTCAGTTATAATTTTATGTTTGCTGATTTTTCGGTCTCAAAATTTGTAATACGGTCAAATTAAAAACATAATTTGACACCCTGAAACGAAAATAAAAATCTCCAAAACTTAACCCCATTTAAAATCAGGAGGGGTCTGTTGTGTTGTACGTTTTGGATTCAAACATCCAAACATATTAAGCTGAGTAGAATTGGTCAATTAACACGTTTTCCTGATTTGACACGTCTACTGATTCTGTCTTTGGTTTTCAAAACCATCTCATTTTAAATATGGATGGACCTGCATTTTCTACATAGGCCTACTGCTGTCAACACAATTTTTTGGGACTAGCTAATACATATTTATCTTCTCTGCATTTGATTAATAAACTTCAATATTTGCTATCTCAAAAAGTATACCGGTAACATCTCTCAGAATTAACAACCCAACTTCACTACCAATAAATTTGGCCAACCATGATTAAATTTATGTCGTATGCTATTGATTTATAAGAAGTATACATGACTGTTGGTACACATATTTTAAAATCAAGCTGCAGTTATAACTGGGATAATTTTTCCACTTTGTCAGTAAAGGAATTCTTTGTAAGACTGAAATATATGCCTACAGTCATTAAAACTACAATAAATGTATCTTTTCATAATCAAATTGTCAATTTCCATAAACATTACTTCAGGTATACAGTAAATTTAAAAATAATTGCATAGAAAAATAATCTTCTCAAAGTCAGTGTGAGAGTTAGTGTGAGTGTGATCCAAATGTGTCTTTCCGTACTGTTTACTAGTTTTGACATTGTCTACAATTATTGCCAAGTTCAGGACAGAAAAAAATTAACTATAAATAATACCGTAATTGTAGTATTGACATAAATAATGTGATAACACTATCAAAGAAAAAATATGATCTTAGAGTGTCTTGGATGAGTAGCCTAGCAACGAACAAATTTAAATACATTACCTATCGTTAAGGAATCTGAATTTTTGAACGTTTAAAAAAATAGACATTACCATCTATAAAATTGTTAAGCTTAAAATTAAATATTTAACACCTTATATTTCATTTAATAGAAATAACTATTCATAAAAATAAATACCCCCGCCACAGCAAACCTGCTAACTAAGCAAATTTCCATTTGCCTGGCTAGATTTCAACTAAAACATTCCCTTGAAATAGTCATATTTATTCCCTATTGAGATCAAATGTATTTAACTGAATATGTCGTGCTAACGAACACACACATATATATAAAAGAATTGTATATATCCGTAGAATTCATAAACTCATATATATATGTATATGAATTCGATCTACGTCAATAGCTAATAGCTTATTCTCTATATGGGAAATTCGAAACAAAAAACCACCCATTCAAACAAAATCGATCAGATGAGTGAAACCAGAATATTTCTATCATACAGACACTATCAGGTCTTGAATTTCATGTTACTTGGAAAACTGTGCCTCGTCTTTCTAGGGTTTCCAACCTGGTCAATCCGGCTAGCGTCAGTGGATGACTCTTCGGTGTCCACGGTATCCACAGTGTCCATTGAGTCAAAGCTTGTGTCCTCCAAGGAGGTTTGTCTTCCGCAGTGTCTCCGGGCATTTCTTGCCTCCATCTTCCGAAGTCTCCAGTTGAGAATGTTGCGGTAGTTCTGCCTCCTGGTCTCGTAGGATGGCAGTTGCAGAAGGTGCGGCGGGAGTCGAGCACTCCCCTCCTCCAGAAGAGGTTCTGTGTTCGACTCGAAGGACGTCGTGTGACTTGCGAGAGCCTCTGCTTCTAGAAGTACCAAATGCATTACAATGTCTTGTCTCTTCAAAAGAGAAATCGGACAATACTTAGAAATTACATTCATGATTACTTTGTTTAAAACTCATTTTAGTAACGGTGGTTAATTAAGGAATTTACTGTGGGCAGTTTAGATATCCCGAATCTAATCCCGTTCTGAGATGAGAAATTTCCTAAAGCATGAGATTAGTTTAAGAACCCATTGACAGCTGGAACATTACAAAAGAAAAACCACAGGGCCTACTGTGTTGTAGTCAAAATAAAACATATAAAACAATAAATATTACAAATAAAGGGCTGACGAGGGAAAGGTACACCTTCTGCACAAGATGGTGGCGCAGGCGAGCATAGCCCTCACTTGTGTACCAATTACCGGTTTACCTTCGTGAAAAACTCTCTCTTCATGATGGAAAATGCTCTATATGCCTCAAATGACATAACATTCATCTTGGTTTTTGTATAACTTGGTTAGTCATGATTTTTAGCTGACAATAGACATCCATATACACCGGAGCAAATAGGTTTAAAAATCAAAAGTTTGAAGGACAATAATTATTATTTTAGTAGCAGAAGACTTTTTGGATCTGAATGGGTTAAAATTTGGATTAGAACATACCTAAATGCATTTCATACTACAATCCCACGTCTGCGTTTAGTTCTGAATTACATAATGGCTACATGCTACAAGCAGTGTATTCCATATATGAACTACGTATATATTTAGTTGATACTTGGATTGACCTGAGCGTACTCTTTTCTGAACTTTATTTGAATCAGTGCATGTCTGACCAACAATTGGAGATAGGCCCTGAAAGATGGTTGCAGTTTGTTTTGTAGAGCTGTGCTTGCCATGTTATGCATAGTTATTACTTGTACTCAAGTATTAAGCTACATCTACTTAGTAAGTAGTTTATACTTGGTCCTGTTTGTACAAACCTGGTGACTGGTCAGGAGAGCTAGGTCCAGGGGCCGGAGTAGAGGGCTGGGTAGCGGCTGTCTGAGTATGTTGCTTCACATTTGGCTTTTCATCTTCTTCCAGAGTTGCTCTCAACTGCCAAAGTCTCCGATATTGTTGCTAAAATGACAACATGGTGATGAAATTTATAGTGATTTCATACAAAACTCTTTCAATAAACCTGTGAGCAGGTCATGTGAGCAGTGGAACGTACGTTTTTGAGTAGGGACTAATAGGTAATGTTAAGGTTTTATTTACATTTACCGTGTATTTACATACGTCATGGTAATTAAGGGGTTCTTTTCTGGTGAAATGCAATCTCTAACACTGTTCTCACAAGATGCTAGCCCTCCTGAACTTTTACCAAAACTTTCGTTGAAAGAAGCGATTAGCATTCATAGGCTTTTGTTAAGTTCATATTTCCTTAGATTTGGGGCAACGGTTAAAAAAGGAACCATGAGTTTCCCCTATAAATGTCAACTATCAAATTTCCCCTATAGGGAAGAAGCTATAATATTTTTTTCACAATGAACCATTTACATTTTTCAAAAAGGTTTTTTCCACGTAGCTGCAAACTTAAGTACTTGTTATCCAAACAAGGAAATGAATCTAAGATGTTTAAGGAGATATTTTGGTAAACAGAAAAATTGAAATTAGTCATCAAGTTTTCCTGACAGTGGTATTTGAGTTCGTAATTCAGAATATATATGTAGAGTAAAATAACACAAACATACTAAAGCGTTTTCTGGAATGTAAAACAAGCAATCAAAAGCTCAACCAATAAAAAATAATAATCATTCAATGATAATTTTAAAAATCATCATTGAAACCAACAACTAAACTAATAACCATCGAAACCAACGATTAGATTTACACACAAATTATGTAAAGGTGAATTAGGAAAAATGTTTAGGATTGTGATCTTAACCCTTCGGCTTTGAATAAGCATAATCTACTAAAATAAGCCAAACGTGAAAATGTACCTAAGTCAGGTAATAAATAATAGTAACATTTAAGTTTCACTTTCAGAGTAAAACATCAATTATATTTCATACAGCATGAATCAAAGTAAACACGATTAAATACATAACTTTGATACATCAACATTTTTTAAATTTATTCTTTAAGTTTATTGTTCCGACAAATGGATTTAGGCTACTTTTACGAACTTTTTTTTAAGCACTTTGACTTCAATCTCTACTCAAATACACAAGCAACTTACTTAGCTTACAAGGACATCCTTAACAACTATCATTTATGACCATAGTTTGTAATTTTGCAACACAGAACAACGTTAAAGTAATAGTAATAGCACGTATTTAACTATTATGGAACCTTAGAACTTAATACATAAAACAAAGTTTTTGTTTCATGTAGCCTCTGAACATATTAGTATAATAAAATGGGTTTGTTTACTACAACTATCATAATCACTCAATAAAAGTAACGGTTAACTATTAAGTATACTTACTCTCATGTGCTCTCGCTCTGCTTCTAGATGAACCATGATTTCATCTTCTACAAAATAGTCTACACAGTTGTCGACGCTAACCTGCAAAGGTTATTCACGTTAAAATTAAAAAAATCATAGCTAAATAAAACCAACAGCTGTGGAAAAAGTCTTATTATAGTCTATATAGGCAAACCTCCTTGTTACACTTTGTGGAAATAAAAAGAAGACTATATCAAATGCCTAGTACGATATTAAACCTTATGTAATATGATGTTTTTATAGAGAATCTCAATTTAAAAAGCGTTAAACAGGAAAAGGTACCGTGTCCCCTGAAACGTGGACAGAAATACTAGTCTTACTTTTGGGGGATAAGAGAATCTTTCATGCTTTGATAGTTATCAGAAACCAAGACCTAAAACCCGAGTTAAAACTAGAGACTGGTTAGATTTGGAGTAAAACATTTCACTAGACACTAAGGGTACAATAGTTATTTGTGTAACTAGTGGGCGAGGTGTCACTTTGCTGCACACGAGAGAAATGTTTACGCACGAGCCGTAGGCGGGTGTGGAAAGTTTCTCGAGTGCAGCAAAGGCAATTTGCACTCGATTTACACATTATATTTTTCCTACAGTTATTATAAATTATAGAAATAATAAGTCTTTCAAACACTAAACAACACGTTTAGGTTAGGTTAAATCCAAGCGTTGAACGAAATGGCAAAAACTGCAACAGCTGATCGATGTCGTAGTATCTTTAAGTGTTGCCAACCTATTTCCAAGTGTACACGGATTACGTGCATAATAAAAGCACGCTGTTTTGTGTTGTTTGGTTGGAATACTGGTGTGCGACAAAGTAAAACGTGCGGCAAAGTAGGTAAATGCAACAATTGGCAGCTTTCTTTACTATATCAGTACAAGACAGTCCACTTTGTCGGGTGATTGTAGGGAAAAAAGATCGTACAATTCTAAATTTTATACTGCGACTGATCCAATTTCTTAATTAATTACATCATTTAAAAATCATCTATGATTAGTAGGATATCTTGTGTCACATAATCAACGTTCAAATATAGCTTGATTCCTCTATTGTGATTTGTTGGACTATTACCTGCTCTCTTAGAACCTTTCCCCTCATCCCTTTGATAACAAGATTTTTCAATCTGCAGCAAAATCGGCCGTTTCCAATACATTAGTTGCGAGGCTATTGGTCTAAAATTAGGCTAATGGTATAACTTTAACAACACCATAGCTACCTCTAATCCCTGGGTTAAAAGGAATCAGCTTGAATTAAAACCATCAGCTGTAAATTTTATTTTTATAAAATTAAATTGACGAATATTAGTTCAGATTTTATAAAAATAATAACCCATTAGCTTATCATTATTCGGATTTTTTTTAGTTTCCCATCGTATACCAAATTGTATATTTCACTACAATAAATATCCGTCATATTTACTTAGACAGATAAAAATGTTTAACTATTTATTAACTAAGTTATACTTTAATTTTTCATAGCGTTGCCAAAATAATATCTGATGCAATTAATTTTCTTCAATCAACCAAAACAGGGAAAATATTCTATAGTAGTTATTTGTTTAGCTAGAAAAAATACGGAATCAATAAGAAATTAAATATTTACTAATATAAATTTTTATTTGGTTTTGTAAAAGAATAACTCAGTGTACTGACGAAATCTAATTCATCACGCTAGCCAAAAGCTTTCTTTAGCTTTTGCATATTTACAACCTCTGCTTTGCCTCAGTACTTCTTGGGACCATTCGAAAAATAATCACACATCACGCCCCAGTGATGAAATTTGCTGCTATCTCACTCTATCTTGGACTATATCTCGGTACAGCATCCTACCTCTTCCAAACTGCCTGTATCGTTGTATCTAACTTTGCTGGAGTTGGTGTGGTCTTCCTTTTGAGCCTTGAAGTGTTCCTGCCTCCAGTAATCAAGGCTAGTCTCCAGTTTTGTCCAGTCCGTACTGGAGGCCCTCCAGGACCCTCTTTGTTCCGCTTCTCCCTCTTCTGCATTCTCCCATCTAATAAAAATAAGTTTTTGAGTAATTAAACTATAAATTGCAGATAGTAGGATACATTATAGTGCCTGACGAGCAGTGAGGAGCTCATTTGACATTAATAGTATTTTTCTGTTGTACCGAACACATCTCAATTGTTGGTATCTTAAGTGTGGTTAGGTTAGGTTAGGGTAGTCACTGTCCTAACCTAACCTTTGGCGTGGTCGGTATAACGGAAAAGTGCCGAATTTGCTTTTACATTTATTGACACTTAAATATTGGTGGATGAAACGTTAAAAAATATAATTCCTTAATATTTAATATTTGTGGAAAGGTTTATAATATTTTAAGGAAAAACACATGGAAGGTATTTCCCTGGTATACATCTTATTAAATGTACTTAGGAACTCGTTTTTGATGAACCCGTACGTAAAAAGGTATACTTTTTGGATTTACATTGACTGCGTCTTGTGATAAGTGAATTTGAAGGTAGAATGCAATCCTCAAAAAGCGATACCGAGTGCACCCGGTCTTTACTTGAGTCCCTTAAGTTCAACAAAAAGTTTTTTTTTAATTATATCGTGAACAATGTGAGAAATGATTATTAATGCTTTTTAGGGGTCGAAATAATAGTAAAGTAGAAAAAAAAATGATGGTTGTTGTTTAAATGTATGTATAGCAAACATTTCCCAGCCCGTAGTGACCCTGCAGTAATGACGTAAAAAGTTTGCAAACATTTAACATACATCGATAAATAACCATTATGATGACTAATCCCATGACATATCTCAGCTTTATTAAACAATAAAAGACTTAACTACGAAACTGAATTTTACCTATATTCACAATATAGATATGCAATCCTTCAAAAAAGAATATTGCTACGAAAACCTGGAAAAACTTTGCATAAATGACAACCTTGAGATATATAAAAATAGTCCATTCCACATGTTGAGTTTTATTACGATTATTTAGGCTTAAGTTCATCAAGTTCAGCTATTAATTTAATAGTTTTTAGTCTGATTATTAAATGACTATTAAATGCATTGAACTGACTTTTCTTGCCATTTCTACAAATTATTGAAAGAAGTGTATCTGTTGGAAGAATTAATTAATAACCTACAAATACTCAGCAGAAGTTTTGTTAACACCTTTGATTGATGCTACAGTAGTATCGAAAAGATGTATTTCACGTATTCATATTTAAAGTGAAGTTGTTATGAAATAGTATTATCTGATTGAAGGATAAAAAATTATTTTCTTCCGTTCCTAGCAGTTACTTGAATATATTTTTGCTACTAAAAACTGAATTTTTCAAGTTACACACCACAGTAACATTTTAAAAATGTGTCCATGAATTTTAAAATATGTTTCTTTCAAGTTTTAAATATGAGGGGTAATTTATATGTAAGTACCATTCGTGCCTAAAATTAGTTCCCATTTACACAGCAATGAGGCGGCTCATTGCTTACTTGCATTTGTGAACAGAATCGTGCCATTTGCAGCTCTGTAGCTGGCGTGTACGCTTTTCTGTTTGTCTAGAAAAATGTTAAAATGATAATTTCTCTCTCCGCATGTATGAAATTTACCTGTGTCTCAATTATATTATAATTAGTCTCTGCTATATTATAATTAGCAATATGGTCGTTGCTAATTAAAAGTTATGAGTTTTTTGCTCAAGAAACATATCCGATGCAGACATTCATCGCCAGATGACTAAAGTTTATGGTCTTAATTGTACAGAGTGAAGGTCATGCGCTGAAATGGATTAGGGGATCTACAAATAGCCGTAAAAATATCCATGATGAAGAACGTTTGGAGCGGCCTTGACAGGGCTTTGCTTTGAATATGACGAAGGAGGTTGAGTAGCGTCATTCTATGAACTCTTGCTAGGACTCAGGTGTGATATGATATATCTATGTTTTGTCTCCAGTAAGGATTTGACGTAACATTTCACCCCCTTCTTCCTCACATCGTATATTTCTCCCAAAATGGACATTTTAAATTGCATTCCTTAAAACCCCTAACCTCGCTGATCGTATTAAGGTCATAAACATCAGTAATGTGGTAATGAATGACCGCATCGGATGTGTTCTTTGCTGTCAAAAAACGTATCACTGACCTTATCTTGCATGCAGCAGGAGATTCAAAACTTTTGAAATTTTACCAGGTACACAGTGAAGCGTACAAATCCGCTACAAATCTGCAAATGGCATCATTCTGCTCACAAATGATGCCAGTAAACAGCAAGCCGCCTCTTTGCGGCTACACATGACCTACGGAACTGTATGCAAGAACGGTGCTTACTTAAAAAAACACCCCTCGTAACAAACCTTAGGAATGTTTAGTTTATCCTACACATATCTCGGCTTTACCTTTGAAATACCTCACGACATAACATAATATTTAGCAGAGTAATACCATATGGTAAAAACTAAAGCTTACCCTTTGTTGGAGCATAGACTAGTAACGCTTGCATGTCTTAGAAGAGGAGGAGGACCGCTTTTGGTCGTCGTCGTCGTTTTAATACTTGGTCCTGGGTGGATTTCTACTGCCACTTCGCATTCTACTGCCTGTAACAGCAATTTAGTTGTTAGTTTTACTATTTTTAGAATAACAACAAATTATTAATGTCGTATATAATATATATAATATATAATATTGATCAATTAGTGATCAATATTGAAATATTTTCTGTCGTTGCTCTTTTTGAACAAGCTATCAACATTAACCAAGGAAGACAACAAACAAGATACCAACTTCAGGAAAGTATCAGAATAAAAAATGTCCTTATTTTCATTTGGTAAATTACTATTAAAATATTTCAATAAATAAGTCATATTTGTTCCCTATTTAAATAACATTATATTTTACGAGTGCTTAGAATTGCTGCTACGATATAGGAAAATCTTTTGATGAAATGTTGCGATGGAATAAATAATTTTGCTAAATTTGATCAACATACATCCACAACACAAGCAGGATGCAGACATTAGTATTTTCTCTAGAAGAATAACATGGGACTTTGTTTGTAATTTTTTCCCGTGACCTTTAATCGTACAACCATGCTTCAATTAACAAAATTGTTTGTTTTTAGCTCTACACGTAGACTTCGATAAAAATTAGGCATTTCCATTTTTCAAGGTTAAATATGTAAAACAACTTTTTTTGATCATTTAAAAAACCTATACCCAGTTCCCATTACCTTGGTTTGCAAACTCAATCAAGCTTATCTATCTCCACACATTCATGCTAAGGTTTATCAGAATCGGAACAAAATTAGTTGAGTTATCGTGTTCACAAACACCTCTGATTAACCTAAGATGCACCTACTAACTACCACGATATATGTGTTTTTGTTTTAGTTGATCATCAGTATAAGACTCTTCTTCGATCTAGTAATACTGTTTAAGATTATAATTTTATGGTTAGAGCAATAAACCGTCATATTTCTTTTCGACTTTAGTATTCTATTGTTGGTTTATACATACCTAATGACAACCAAATATAATTGTATTTTTTAGCAATGTTGTTTTTCAAATACATTTCCAACCATTAAGTAAAAATTTATGAAACGTTAGCAGGAAATATAATATATTTAAAATATTTTTCAACAAATGTTTCTATTGTGATGGTTTTAAAACTCAGCTATAATCTAGGCCTGATCAATTTATAATTTTACTAACCTTCATGTTAATTTGTTAATACCTAACCTTGATTAATTTGTCTTAATATTAACCCACATTTAAGAGAGAAAAGACATTTTCACAGTTAAGTATGACGATATATTGCGCGAAACAGCGATGAGGTAGCCAAAAGTAACTGCAAACTGAACGAAGTTATTGTGAAGTTTCGCAATATAAAAGTTCTTATGAAGAATAGGCTGGTTGTGCATTTCTGGAAACGCTTGTTGAGAATTGTAATAAGATGCTTCAAAAAACGTAGTTTCCCCAATACTATAACACATTTAAATATAGATTTGCGTTTAATTAGCTTAAACTTACGTTAAAAACAAATGTTAACGATGTGCAAATATTACCTCTGATGTTGGCTCGACGAAGCATGTGATGGGAGAAGAGTCATTGTTTTGGAACGATTTCTGCCTGTGAAGAAATATATTTGTCTTTACGTGGTCGTCCACTAATCTGAAAAAAAAATCATTTATCACGTCAATATTGTATTACATTCCATATGGATTTTAAAAGAGGGAATACTCCCAACATAGACAACATTTTTTTCGCCTGAGATACTTAAATTGTATCGCGTTTTAGGTGTTTCTACAGCTTCAGGTAGGTCCCTAATCATCAAATCCATGCATGTTTATCTACCGGTATCAAGCCATTGGTGTTTGGTGGTTTGTGAACCCAGGGCTTCAAGACAGAAGTCATTACGCACTAAACATTAATTCACTAGCCACGCCCCCAAGTGTTCCAAGAAAATAATTAACGTTCTACGAATTTGTTTAAATAATGCTATCTAAAGAAAATCATTTTGAAATTTACTTATTCTGAGCTGGGAAATCTTAGAGCATACTTGGTCGGTTCTGTATCGCCAAGCAACATAACTTCTTGTGGTAGGAAAGTATCAGAATGAGGATATAATGAACGAAATGTCGTTTTTAACCCTACATCACTTCACGTCCTAAGCGTTCAATTAGTATTGATATATATATTTTTAAGCTGTTATAGTTATAGCATACTTGTTCGTTTTGAGTTACAAAAATATAGGCCTAATAGAGATGTTAAAATAGAAAAGTGTAACATAATAAGAGCGTCGACTAAACTTAATATATAAATATATATTAATTTTGATTTTCATGAAATATTCACCATGTATATATGTCAATAGAAAAATGTTTTTTTAAAGCAGTACTACAACTTTGTTATGGTTTATATTACAGTAAAAGATAACCATTTATAAATCCAAATGACTGTGAAGCTGAGCAGTTTCAGAATGACTAGGATTTGGGCCATTTCCTTACAATATACTTTAAAACTTCTGTTAGCTCACACACACTTGCAAGGAAATCGTGGCCAATGTTAATCAATCGTTCAATAACTATAATTCTGGTTTGTTTTCGACCTCCTATCCAGCCTTTGGGCTGTATAAAAAGATTGTCTACCGAATATTCTATAAATAAATTCTATTAAACACCGATCATTCAATACCAAAGTTTCCACCTAAAAGGGGAAAATACTTCGCACACCTGAAGGTGTTAACTCCTAAAACAATGGAGTAAATAAACTGTTACTTAAATGTGTTGACATTTACTAGCTGTATTTTGAACTGTATTTATAAACATTTGCTCAAAAGAATAACACAACTTGAAAGTTTCTAAAGCTATTATATTTTGATAGTTGCGTAGGGGGTTGTATATTATTTTCGCTGACCCGATAGAATACACTGTGATCTTTTATTTTACAGTGTAATTTTAGACATAAAACTATTTAATGACACATGTAACACATATAACACATCTTCACCCAGGAACCAGAATACCACGACTCAAAATATTATTAATATTGTACCTACCTTATTAACTGTTTTATAGCTTGAAAGCTTATTTCTTATACATTTAAAATTAATTATAAGACACGGGAAGTAAATTGAAAAGGATTACTACATTATAACAAATATATTCATTCACGAAAATCTAGACTAATTTGACAATTATTCTCATATATCAGGTCATAATCTTCCATTGTTCAATGTAAAACCTCATCAAAGAAAAGAAAAACATCAGTTTCTTGATTTGGTAATTAAATTAGACATTGAAAATTGTCTGAATCCTAATGTTTCTATGTAAGGTACTTATTACATTTTCAAAGAATCACACTTCGCTTTATTAAACAAAATTAAAAATCATAAGTAAAAAGGTTTTTCTGCGGAAAATATTTTAAGTACGAAACCATTATGTTTTTCTTTTATGTTGTAATAGTGTGATACCCAAAACTCTAACGTACACATTTGAAAATATGCAGTTGGATTCCATGAGTATTTGGATTGTAACGATACTGAGAAAAGGGGGCGGTAAGGAGGGTGGGCAACCGACCCTACATTGACGTATGCCCCTTCCCCCACAATTCTTGACCTGTTCACCTTCTAAAAATAGCCACAATTACCGTTTACAATCGTCATATTAATTCGGGAACTCAAAATTGAAATTTCATGTAGAAAATATGTTATTTACCTTAGGAGGTATTTAGTACTCATTTTAAAATACGTAATGTAAATAAGAAAGTATCAAATTAAAAGTTTTTTAAACTAACAAGTACGAAGAGAATATGTTAAACCTACCTTTATGAAAAATTATGTCAAGGTATAAACTTTTGTAATCTTTACCACATATGATAAATAAGTATTGTTAACCATACGTTATGCTCGTTCTTACACAACTATTGCTAGTTCATAATGAAATTTAGGGTCTAAAAGAAAACCAATGCCTATTTAAGGCATGGTACACAAAAAAGATCACTATACCAGTAATATATTGCAAGCATGAACAAGAGCGATTGAACAGACTGTGAATTTACTCTATAAATCATTTGACCGTTCATAAATACCACTACTCAGTATACTTATGAACTCGTCAGTGACATCAAAGAAGAAATTACCTGGTCTCCAAGAAAGTCAGGGAAGGATTAGACTTATTGGAAGTGTTTGAGGGGTAAACCACATGTGTCCATCCTTTCCACTGCATATCAAAAGAAGGCGAAAAACAACTCTTGACACTACATTGCCATATTTGACAACAAAACCACATTTCTTACGACACGATAGAGGAGACGAAGAGATGGTGAATGGGACAGCATGTTCCGTACTGGCGCAGTGACGTCAGAAGAGAATCAATGGCCGCCCACTCCGGAGAGCACCCACCGCCCAACGTCACGACTGAAAACAATTTTCTGATATCCCGATATCGATCAGACATTCGCTCAGTGCCTCGCACGTCATACGCTGTACACACGAGTACAACGAGACAACGTCACCGTAATTCCAGCTAAGTAGTGGATTTCGCAGAAGGTGTCCTCTGACCCCTTTTGTTACCGAATCAGTGTTGAAATAAAATGTGTCACTTAGGAATTATATAGAAAAGAGGGTGAATAAATGTGTTTATATAGGTATCTAGGAGGACTTTGAGTGGCTTAAAGAACTTAAGGACAAAACAAAATTTTCTCCTGTGCCCTGTTATAAACTCCTAACAAGGTTTTTCCGTTTAGTTCCTGAGAGTGCAGAGTCCACCCGAAGTTTTCCAAGCTTCACATTTCTAACCACCTGGTTTGAATTCCATCGTGCAATAAAAAACATCTTGAAACTACATTTCTCAAATCAGAGGTTAAAGGTAATCTTTTATGTCGTTTTTAGGAGCATTCCAGTTGGACGATGGTTACGACCAGTAATACAAACAAAAAGCGACCATGTTTACAAAGGATTAACTCCAGCAAATTGATTGCTTAAAATCTTCAATAGCTTTTAAAAACCGTAAAACAGAACCTGCATGTATTGTATCGTATCATCTCGTCTAAGTGCTATTTCGTCCAAGTACTATGTCACCCAAGTTTTATCTCGTCCAAGTAGCCTACTATGTCATCCAAGTACTATCTCGTCCAAGTGCAATCTCTTCCAAATTCCACGACGTAGTGTGAAGGGTGATACACCAAACACTAGTCTATTGTACCAGCAAGTAGCGCCATCTAGTCCAAAACTCTATGCTAGTGTTCACTTGACAGATCTACAAAACCTATTGGAATGTTTGAAGCAGCCTACCTTTATAATTTTATAATTGTGTTTATTTGTCTTTTTTTATCAATCGACAAACCGCGCTAGTCCTTACCTGTCATTTTGTTTGTTGATAATCTATATAAAAATCGATATAATTAATAATAATTAAATATATTTCATTATTAAACATTACTTAACAGTATCTGACCTGTTAAGTAGAGAAGTTGGCCATAAAACTAATTTATTTTCAACTTGAAGATTCAGGGTGTTACATACAATTTTTAAAGTTTGCTGCTATATTGGAAATACGAAGATTTAATACTCTATACGAGAAGCATCATACAGAAAAATGGAGACATTTACAAATTTTAACAATTATCTTTAGTTACCCATTACAATTAAGGAGATACTCATCTTTTAAACTTCAGGGCAAAATAGTTCAAATTTGCAGTGTTGGAAAGTTGTTTCTGACAATAAAATTTGAACGAACATGGAAGTCGTGGATAAGTTGGGGACTTTTAATTTAGAACGTATAAACTTGACATTTGTGTTAGATCTAGAAGGTTTTGGAATTGTGAAATCATAAACTAATAACTAATAAACATAAACTCATAAAATATTTTATAGAATTTTTAAAGGTTGAAAATTTACGTTCGGGTGTATTTGTAAGAAAGAGGAGAATATCAAAATTTTACACATCAATTTTTTAATCCATTGATTTGATTTTAATTTTATGATTGATATATTCTCCTCCAGAATGTTTGAACTCGTTCTCAATGATCTCTTTCACAGACAATTTTCACGTTACTAAGAGGGTTTGATCTTAAAATACAAACCAAGTCTGACAATACAATGGCGGCATTCTGCATTGTCAAGTCGTCTGCCTATATACACGTTTTACAAAATGATATGCATAATATTTACATATTTTACAAAAATATATACATAACTTTTAAACATTTATATACATGATGTAAGATATATGCCACTACTGTGTTGCGTTGTCACCGTATGTGAAATCGGGGAAATCATTGGTATTGTTATTTATATAGTTATAAGCTATATTGTTAGACACTGGTAAGTGACACCAATGAGGTTTGTCCAAAGAAGAGACGTAAGAATACCCTAATGCGTGCAAACGATTTTATTTGAACGATTTACTTTATCCTGCGTGCTAGCCACATATTATTGCCAACTACCTACTGATGTGTACTCGAACACATACCAGTAGCTTTATAAGCTTTATTCATGTAAATATGCTTTAAACTTTGAACATTCGTCACATAGTAAAACTCACAATTAAATAATTAAACTTTTGTTGTAGGGGTTCATTGTTGAAAATTTAAGAATGTTTGAAGAGAGGTCCGATGATGTATTTTTGCTAAAATCTTTACTTAATAACCCCTTAAAAATTAAGATACAACCCTCAAATTATTGTATGGCGATTCTGGCAGGCTTTACATAATTTAGATGGTATATATTTCTAACATTTTTGCACACTACAAAATGTTCTGCAAATTTAAAGAAAATGCGAAAGACAAGACTTATTTACAGTTATTAATGTTGTTACACAAAGCATAAATATTTCAAGCTCGTAACTCCACCCAGGTATTTAGCCTTTCAGAGAGACTATTCATATCGCTCTTAAAAAGACGACTGTACCAAACTAATCTTCAAACGGTAGTGGAATGTTAATAAATATGAACTTCATACATCTTTATTTAGATACACCTTTGTATTAGCTCCAAATCGTATTTACTATTGTGTGTTTTTATTTAATTTTCAGCTAATGCAACTTTTTTAGATTTATAACTCTTAAAGACTGAGTAATTATATTACCATACACATGCCTTTGCCGCGTATTTTTAACATGTTGACATTATTAGACATTTAATATACAAACATATCCATAATACGCTAAGCCAATTTTTGTAAACAGAATTCCTCCCTCATTTTTTGACCGATTTTGATGATTTAAGTGTCAAAATAATGACCCTGATCTGTAGTTTTGCAAAGTGGTTTTATGAAATGTGAATTACTTTGGGCAAGATCGTCCATCAAACTTGGGTTTTCTCCCATAAGGTTAACATGGAGGAATCTATTTATTCAATTGGAAACTTTGTCTCCACTAATTTGAGAGAACGGCTGAGCGTAAAAGTTTGGTAGAGGTGTCTAAAGAAAGGTCTTGGTCTTTAGATGAGCCATCAAAAGAAAAACTAAGTAAAATCCCTTGGGGTTCTGCCCCAGTGACCTTTAAAGTTCCCTCTCCAGATTTGTTTACATTATTGCCATATGGATAATTTTTCACTACTTATTAATTAAACAGCTGTTAATATTAAAATTGTATTTTAAACAATACACATTAATAGGGAGTTGATGAATTAGTCAAAAAGAAGTATTTGCAATGTTATTTTCTGATTTTTAAATTTATTTTCTTCTGCATCATGTCATGTTTTGCAATATAACGTGCCATTACGAAATCAGTGGAAAATCTTAATATCACAGTAACTCTTAAGATTATTTCTTATTGAATTGTCTTGTATCTATATCTATTGTGCGGGGTGGTGTCTGCCTTTTTGACCACATTTGCCTATATTTTATCATATTATTCAAGACAGATAAAACTTTATATTACAAAAAAGTTTAGGCCAGGAGCCATTTTAATACGATTTGATTGTGACATTTATAATTTGGCTATTATTTCTCTTAACCAACAGATTATTCATCTGCAGAAGTTCATTGCGCTCTTAACATCCAACATCCAAATACAGAAACCCTGCCTAAAATAGTACCTATCTTGACAGATGATTTGCAGTGGCCTATTACAGACCGTGGCCCACTTGCGAGTGAGATTTTTTAAAATAACACTACACTTAGACTGTACAAAAAGGCACAAAGAGTAAATAGTGTTTAAGCAGCTACTGTCATGACAGAAAGGTCATGTTCCTTTTAAAATAGATCTCGTCATCTTTTATAAGATACGTTGATTAACATAAATCTTCTTGTTCTGTTTGTTGTTTGTTGATTTGTTTGTGTTGTGTCTTGTTGTGTTATTGTTGTGTTGTTTCTTCACCGTCTTCTTGTCGCCAAGCTCGCTGGTTATGGAGTCAGTGGGATCCTGCTGAGACTGCTGGAAAGTTACCTCACTGATCGTCAGCTAATGGTTAAATGTGATGGCACTGATCTTAGCCCTTTCCAGCATATAGCTCATATAACGGCCAGGGCTAGTTCGCTCTCGGGTTTTATACCACAAGAAACTTCAGGTCACCATATACACAAGTGATCCTATACAAATCACTGGTTCGCCCCATCTTGGAATATGGATCTGTAATATGGTCTCCGTATCAGGTTGGTCGCATCCAAATGCTCTCAAGAACACAAGATCGCAATATTGACCTTGCTATACCTAGAGGGACACGTTCCAGAACCTCCTTCCAGCGTCGCTCCCAGCCGACACTTTTCGCCTACCTCATCGGCCTGTCCAGATTGCATCGACTAGGGAGTCAAATTGCTACACACATCGACTTCTCTGGTTCAACTGCCTCCTTCAGAAGTCTCTGTGCTGAGCCAGATTATTTGAAAGTTAATTTACCTTGGTGTTGCCACTAATGGGCCACAAAAAATAATGTAATAAAAAAATGTTTCTGGTATTGTTACTTTACATCTTTTGCTGCTTATTATCTGTTTTGCTGTTTATTGCTGTTTCATATTTATATTCACTGTTATTCATTATTGTTGTTGTTTCATATTTATTGTTGGTTGCTATTTCACATTTTTATCATCTCTGTTTTACACTGCCTCTCTATTCTTAATCTCCATTCTTGTTTCACATTGTGATTTCTTGTTTGTTGTATCCTTTTTTGTTTTCAAATTCTAGTTCTAATCCGCTTGTTATCATTGTTACTCATAAGACTGAATTATTTTATGTACCATAAACGTATTTATTATTGTATAAATGGTGATTACCGTTGGAAATAAATGAAATAAAATAAAATGAAATGAACAATGCATGTAAACGTCGCTAATTATTTAGACTAACAGCCAATTTACAATATTTGCTTTTTTTGAAATGCAGCATTGCTACTATGTATGTCCTATGCATTATTTGTTGACAATGAAGCCACACGACCATATGAATGAGGCTCCTAACGGTTAAAGAATACAAGCCAGCTTCACTGCAAGTATATTCAACTACATCTAACTTTCCGAAGAGAGATTATATTGACAACTTTATGTAATTGATGAGATTCCTAAGTGTCTGTAAAACGAAGGTTAAAATTACGAATCTAAGGTTCATTTAGCGGTACTGATATGGCGTGGTTTGGTCGGGTCCGTATGTGGGCAGAGGACTGAGTGAGGAGAGCAAACAGCTGTTTATACTTGACTTAATGCGGAATCAAATCAATTAGTTTTGAAACTAAATAATCAGCTCTTATTTAGGCATGTGGGGAAGGTAGGTCGGACTTTATGTGGATTCGTGGCTGTATCAAGTCCTTTGAAGGTAGATTAGATTAGGTAAGGCAAAGTTTAGGTTATAATGAACCGACTGAATTTACGTTACCTCTAGACTGTTTTTCACAATTGAAATAGTGGGTGAAACGCAATGAATCATTTTTTATATTGTTATTTCATTGTGTTGTAGATTGTAATAGTTCACTAAGTTTGCATCATAAAACAATTAGTAAACTTTAATTTCTAATGTTTACCTGGAAGAGCTGGGAACGTTTCTTGACACTTCCTCAAGGATGCCTCGATTTGCGTCCGCTGAAAATTACAAGTAATTAATTAGTGTTTTCATTAAGGTTTTCTTGAAAGAGCTATAGTTTGTTATTGGTACTCGGAAGCTACGTAGCTCATATCATCTAAAAGCTGATGCAATAATAATACGAAGAAGTGAAAACCAATAAGTACATATGATATTCTTTATATGTATGAACAAGCAGTGGTAATAGTAGTTTACGCAACGATTGCGTTAAGTAAGTCTTTACGACAAGAGTAGAAAATTTAAAAACTTCTACGAGTGTCGTAATGACTATTAACGCGAGTTGCGTACAGTACTTTACCTCCGACCGTTTTTTAACTAATAACAATCTGGTTGTTAATTATTAACAATCACTACTCATGACTTCTTAGAGAGGTTATGTTTTCGTTTATTGTCATTGCCACTGAAAGTGATGCAGCGACTTATTGTATAATCAGCTGATTTCATGCAATTACGTGTTTGTATAACTTCGTTAAATAATACGTTATTTAACGTATTAACTCCCTGAAAAAGTTTAGGGGATAACAAGATCATAAGCCGATGGCCGTTCTTTAATCAAATGCCACATAGGGCTAAACCTAGGACTAATCCAATGTCTCCAAACCAGGACACTTGACTATTTTCACCATTAATCATAGCTTGAAAAGAGGTTATTAAGTTAGTATTTATTTACTATCAAAAACAATTTATAATGTTTCAAAATAACTAATTACACAAACAGGTTTTAACGTGCAATAAATTAAATTAAATTTTTGATACAAGTCCTTGAAATAACGGATAACCCCAAATTAATAGTATGGTTAGGTTAAAATGAATTGGACTTTGATAGCATCCCACGAACCAATCACATGGCCAACCTAACAACACGAAACGCCGAAAACAAACCAGCAAAAACAGTGGCACGTTTTTCTCTAATATTTAACCAGAGAGTACTGACTCCAGTTATAATCTATTTGTCTCAATGGTTTTATCTACCTTCCTTAACTTCCACCAACTTAGGTTAAGAATACGCGAGTATCGACAGGAACTAACAAGTTGGGTCAACAATTAGAATTGTTAACTGATCGCTGATTAGTTGACGTTCAAAGCATTACAATTTTACTTGTTTTCTCTCTATCCTTGTACTTCATTGGTCCGTTACCCGTGTTGTTATGAGAAAAACTATGCTGTTATGAAATGAAACTATGCTGTTATGAAAGTAAACAGCTGTTAAGTGAAACTTTTCAATTCTAAGAACTGAATTGCAATGGCTACTTAAAAAAAAAACGGTTGTAGCTAAAATATTTTTTTAAAATGAAAACAATACATCTAATGTAGATTACTATTGATGGTGAAAGAGTTCTTGAGCTTGTTGTATTCACATATTGTATTGCAATGAATATAAGACTTCATTAACAATATAAGTTGTCATTTTGACCTTTGTGCGCTCCCTTAGTAATGCAATTTTTCGCTCTCCGTTAGTATTTAGGATTTTAAATATACAAATTTAGCCAATGAAAAGTTACATGCATTATTATTTTCCGGTTATTCATCGAGTACTAACAGTTGTATTTCCCTTCTTAACATTTAAGTCTTCAAAGAAGTCTAAAGAACTTCCGGAATATTAATTATGGGTCATCTGTATTTTAGAAAATCGTATCCTACTTTTGATCTGACATTGTCCACCCTTAATCCACATAACACACAACAACCAACTGTTGTTGTTGCTGTGTTTGTTTTTGTGGTTGGTACATGACTCCTGGAACACTCGTAATTACTAGTTATAATTCGGGTTCTGATTTTTACACGTCCTCCTTACGTTTGTAATCTTGATAGTATCATAAAAGAGTGCATTTTAGTTTAGAACGTTTATCCCTCTCAAAATAACTGTTCTATTTTATATTACATACTCAAAACCTGTTCAGTTTTACTGCAAAGACCAGCATTGAAAACAGAAGTAAGGCCAATAACTTCCAAATAAAAAGTAGACTTACATTCTGCATACTGAGCAAAGTGCTTGTAGCTTTTACCTCCTGTGCCAATATATAATTATATGATTTCCATCCACCCTGTGTGTGTTTCTGTCATGTGAAATTGATAGGCAATGTATTTGCCCTAATCTTTTGAATTTTGTTGGAAAACCTAAATAATGGTGTAGCGCTTCAATGTAACTGATAATCCCGTGATATTGTGGTTCAAAACATACCTACATGTTCCAACCACCCATTACAACAAAGTCCTTATATCCCCTTATATAAGTCCTTATATAGTAGGCTTGATGTAATAAGGACTTTGTTGTGATGGGTAGCTGGAACATGTAGGTATGTTTTGAACCACAGGATCATTGATGATCGGCAAGATTTGGATCTAAAACCCCTTGACAGGCGTTACACTTAGCACCAGACCACGCTATACTAATACTAGAGCTTTGCATATAGCTTCGTTCTGTAGCTGAGGCAATTTCTAACACTTATATACGTTCATTTATATTTTTAAAAGTAAGCTGAAATACTGGGCACTGAAGATATTGTGGTTTTATGTAACTGCCCCATGACTTAAAAAAGACATAGATCGAGCATTACTTACCTAATTTACTTAGCCATAATTGATTTTGGTTTTGACTTCTATTATTTACCTGGTCTTGGAGAACCCTCCAGCTGAAACTTGCTTCTATCACTGCTCCACGACCCCCTCCGGACCTCAGTCTCTTCTCGGTCTCTTAAAAAAGAAAACAAATAACAATTATAATATAAGAAAAAATCATAAAATAACCGACTATTACATACCGTAGGGATAAAATAACTGTACTTAAAAGTGTATAAGAAATTTGATAACATTAGCAGCAAGCTCTTTGGGGATTTGAACTTTTTGATTGATCTTTTACTTTCTTAATAGATTTACTTCTATTTTAAATGTTTGCAACTTTATAGACACTTTATATTTTGGTTGTATCTTGTGGTCAGACTGTCATCCAAAATACATTAAGCATATAAGGAATTTTCATTAATCAAGTTCAAAACTAAAATATAGTTGTATCAATGATTTCTTCTCAAAAACGAATCGGGAAATTTTAACAAAGGTAGTAGTAATTTAGTACAGGGAGTTCTACAATAGAATAAATACCTCCATACGTAAAAACCCATATGTTATGTTTTCCTGACGTCTAGATTTACAGATTTAATGGAGATATCCCACAGCTCACCATTGTTGATTGATGATTGGTGGAGTTTGTACAAGGGGCTCAAGGATAGAATTCTCGCATATTTACCACTATACCCATCCCATCCTGTTGTGTCTATAAGTATAATTAATTTTACAAGTTATTAGTGGTGACAACGTTTTTAATTTAGTGGTTTATTCAAGATAAATTACAAAGCCCTCGGCAAAACATATAAAAATGTTACACGACTATAAAACTGTATGCAAAAAATGTTGTCTCTTCCCATTATAGGCCATGTGAACTACTAATATCTCTAATGTACAAAAGGCATACATTACTTTTATAGTTTATGCAGCAAAAATAAATAGTTATACAGTATAAGTATCACGAGGACAGCGAACTAGAGAGATTACCTGACCTAACTTTATACTTACGATTGCCCACGATGTTCTAGCAAATAGCACATAATACACACAGATACTTCAATCCTTGAGGTCCCGGGTTCAAATCCCGCCAAAACACAAATGGATTTTATCTAAGTGATAATGCCGCAACCCCTAGGTACAGTCTGAAGTACGAAAAAACCTAAAAATACTATAACATTGATGAAACAGAATTTGTTTTATATAACGATCTTTAAGTATCTCATTTCATATGATTATTTGCCCCCTACATCTGTAAAAAACTCGTACCGATTTTAAACAAGTTAGTATGGTGTACAACACTCCAATCATAAGGCTTCTATGAAATGTATAAATTTAAGCAATATGCTTTTTATTTATAAAATTCAAACGAGAAAAGTATAAAATATGAATTGCATTGGTCATCAAATTCATTATTTAATAGCATATACTTTATTCTACGAAGAAATGTCACATTTAAAGGTGAGACTATTTTAGACAGCTGTCTTTAACAGCTAAAACACAGATTTTTCGAGGGCAGGTTTTATGCTTAAAATGTATATAAGGTATACAGTATGTTCAAATCACATTTTATAAACCATAAAAATTTATACTTTTGATTTTACATTGGGGCTTCCTCATTGTAACATATCACAAACGTTCAATATCAAAACCTCTTTTTCCATCGACCCTCAGTAAAAAATCCTCGATGCAAATAGGTCCTAGATGACAAGTTAAGTTTAAGTGCAGTTTTGTTCAAGTACTAAATAAACATCAAAACACACAAAGTTAAAATTGAAAACGATGACATTAAGTAATAAAATCTGACACTTACTACCGAGATTCCTCTCAAAGAAGGCATGTTTACCTGATAGAATCTTCATCCTCAGGACGTTCAAGACTGAAGGAAGCTTCTCTTAAAACCCAGCTGTCGCCAGTAGGCACACCCACCCCCTCGGCTCTGGAAAATTTATTTAAACTAATTTATAAATAATCTTAAAAATTGACTGGTGATATCTTATGAACCTTTTTTGATGGTTGTGTTTTACTTACTAGGCCCTTTTATTTTGCACATTACATACATCAATGGTGACTATTTTTTTGGAAAATAGCATCATACGCAAATATATGATAACAGATAATTTGTGTATCCCATTGCATCAAATATCTGTACAGCAGGTTGATTTTTTTACTAACAAAACACTTTCCTATTGTGGCCAATTCTTCATTCGAACCAAACCTTGTTGAAGAAGCCACTCACATAACACGTTGCTGCCGTCAGAGTTCCATTCTATCCCTTAGGTATACTTTGCTACTTACATTGATACGATTTGAATATTGATTATGGACTGCTGATAATACGTTGTAATCGATGTGTGATCAAATGTGTCGTGTTTAACAGTAAATTTACTTTAAGTGTTGTTTAGTGAAATAATCTGTGTATAGAACAACGAACAGAAACTAACATCAGCACTGAGCAGCTGGCTCAATTTGACTTCGTTAATTTTCATTTAAAAACTAAATACAAGTTTAACATGGAAATGGGATGGTTTATTTCGTCTTTCTTCCAAACTTTTATCACAAGACGAATTTAACTTATCAAATAATAAATTTCTCTCCTAAGTGTAAATAGTTAGGTTGAACATTTCAAATTAAATTATATTAGCCTCAATAATTATGAAGCAAATTTCAATAAATTCTAAATTGAACATATACAAGCTAATATAATTTAAATTTATATGCTTTTATACAAATATACAAAGCAACAAAAGCATACACTAAAAAGATATAATAAATATATCAAGAGTAAAAATATATTTTTTAAGTCGTTGTATAAAATATTTGTATTAAGTATTAATTACGTGTGTCTGTTTTTATTTAATTCTAAGTGGAAAATTCCACCTTCATTTTAATTTAATCTTACCAAATGAAAATACTATAAAAATGTCAATTTTTACTGTATATTTTAGACTTTTAGAATTTGGAAAACCAAAGTTTACCCTCTGGATCCCTCGAATAGAAATAAAATGATCAAATTCATGAAATTCGGTTACAATAGCCGATCCTACTTTTTTGTGACTTTCTTAAAGTGGTCCAACGGAAGAACAGGATCTCTATCCCTCAATTAAAAGTATTTTTATTTACTGTAATCTGAGCATATTGAATTTTTTGTTAGCTGTGATAAGAAATGGTCTTTTACCAATATTAAGATATAAACGTTTAAGGAATGGGAATCAGTAAACCGTTTTTATGCTCCTTATAATATGATGCGTAAATTATTTAGTGAACGAACTTTATACAATTAATCATCCTTCCAATCTTGCAGTTTTTAGTTGAACCTGATGATGACTGGTTGAAATCTATCGCTATTGTAATAAATTTCACATGTATTACAGTTATGAATAATCTATGTAATTATAGTTTACAGCATAATTTTAACATTATAAAAAAGTGGTGAATTCGTATATTATTATATTCGTATAGGAACATCAACAAACACAATGCTAGTCAAGATCAGAAAATAAGAATATCATTATCACAATTTAATAAGAAGTATAATGGACAAGTATAAGTATTGATAAACATACCCGAATATCAGATTTTCTCCACATAATTATAAACGGAAGTCTTATAAAAATATACCTTGCCTATAAAAATGTATCGTAAAAATAATAACAATGTAAAATTAAATATTATACAAGTTCTTAAAATTATCCAACTGAATAAAAGCCTTGGTTAAGGAGCCACTCCACCAGGCTATTTTTGAATTGTGTTGAAGCTTTCCTGTTAAAAAAGGGTTTTTTTTGCTGTTGATAGATTTACAATCCTGCAATTCCTGTATAAGACGTAAATACATATATACATACCCACGCATGTATATGTATATATATATATATATATATATATATATATATATATATATATATATATATAGAGAGAGAGAGAGAGAGATGGGGAGAGATAGAAAGAGAGAGATAGTTATAGCTAAAAAAGATTTGACGGTTGATTTCGTTTGACACGTTGTAACGGAATAAACAGTTTACTGTAGCAAGTAATTATAAAGAGGCAGCACTAGCAACCCCGCGACCTTACTGAAAGTTCAAAGGTCAATTATCTAAATTTCATGGCAATTTGCCTTATTTAACAAGTGTCCGGAGACTCCTCCATCAATTTTAATAAATCTTCCACTTTGAATAATGCGTACATCGGGCAGTCACCGTTAGTCAATTCAAAAAGCTATGTCTCAAAAACACACCTTTTTATAAAGTAAAAACTATATAACTACTTCCACCACTGATAAATATATTAAATATCTCGAGCAGAATCTCTAGAAAGTCTTATTATATATTTAAAACATTGAATGATTACTGTACCTAGTATACAATAGTATTTAAAACAATTTAAAACAAAAGAATCAAAAAACAATAATATTTTATATTTTTAACTTTTTATTTACTTAGGAAGATCTTTTATCTTCTTTCACGAAACGTTATAATCAACGAATTTACAAACAAAGAAACTTTAACTAGCTATAACTATCTCTCTCTCTCTCTTTCTATCTCTCTCTCTCTCTCTCGAAGGCCACACAGCTGTCCCTTCACAGCTTTCTTTTTGAAGGCTGATTTATACGGTTTTCTCAAAACAGCAATATGTCACTTAATCAGTCCCACTAAAAGAGACGTTCCTTGTGTACGTATTTAAGCTGAATATGAGTGGACGGTGGGAGTATAATAGAATTAGGTATTCTGTACATTAAACTAGAAAACGCATTACTACAGTCTAGTTTTAAGACTACATTTAACAGTTTATGAAAGTTTGCGAAAAAACTTTTAACTGAATATTGAGTAATATTGAATTACTTTATGCTAAGGCTTTTTTACGAAAACTGTTGTATCCTTGCTATGTAGTCCATCTGGTTATAAGGTTCAAGAATGTTGTGTTATTTGACATAATGTTCAAGGTTACCAGCAGATCATAAGATATTCCGTAGTTGAAATGTGTTGTACTTTGTTCTGACAGCAAATAAACCGTTTAATGGACGATCTCTATTGCCAATTGATGTCTGGATGAGTGTGTGAGTTTTATTACCTACTGAGGTAATGTGTTTTTCCTTAGCCAGGATCATGAATTAGCAGGACAATGGTCAATAACAACTGAATCCGATTAATCATGTTTTTGACAAACAATTCCGTAATATAGAGGCTGAAATTACTGTTCTGAAAATATAACTGGCTTTATAATAAACTAAGAATGTAGTTTGAGCTGATTGAAAATACAGGATCTTCGTTACAAAGGGTGTAATGCAAACAAAATACACCTTTGTGAAGAGTTCTAGGAGTAAATTTTTGCATTATAAATTTGTCAAAAGGTTGGATCATCTTTAATGGGAACTTGGAGATATGCAACCCAATTGTAAATTTCCTAACCATGCAAGTTTTATAAAATTTTATTTACAAAACAAATACCAATATAGGTGCATTAAATATAAGAGATAATAATACAATACTGAATAGAATAAACTAATTTAGTAAATATAACATTTCTACCGCCTAAAATAAATACACCACTTTGCTCAGTTATCAGCAATATTGAAGTACAACCTCAAATACCACAGTTCGAATGAATCAGGAGGTCAATTGGTGCATTTGTTTGTTTATGGGAGCTTATCGTTTTAATCTACCAAACGGTTGAAACAGACATAACATATTTTAAACGATTTTATAAATATATAAAAAAGAACAATTCTTTATTAAAGGTCAATTTTCTGGAGAGGATTCTGGTTTATCCTGAGAGGCAGAATAATATTTGGTAAATCTTTTTCAAAGACATAATTTTCATAAAAAATTTTACCATAAACAATTTGAGTACTTATACATTTTTTTATTTGACTACTCACTAAAACACCCCTTCTATTCTGTTGGACACAGGCCTGGAATTGTTTGTCACTTTACTTCAAGTCAGGCTAACATGTGACCTAAGCCCTCAGGGCTCGCACCGTTTCTGATATTTAGATTTTTTATGACCTACACCGCATCCCGGTCAAGGTCGAGCTTCTTGGTGCGGAGGATACCCTGGATGTAATTTGACACACAGGTCCAACTGTCCTCACCCTCCGTCATCATCGGTATGACCGTGTCCACCGACAGCAGTCCTACGAACTGTTGAACATCCAAAGCCGTGACCCGTTAAAAATTGGGTGAGGTAGAAGTTCACCTCTCCGTACCGCCGATTAACCTAAGGTTGGACTGGCTGTATCAGTCGCCAGGTCCAGCGTCCCCAAGTCTCCTGTTCCCAGTTCTCCTGCCCCAGCTGGTAGGTAATGGTGCGTTGCTCTGTTCTTGACTGATCCTCCCCACGGGTTGGTGCTGATAAATTGCCTTCCTCTCCGCCGATAAAAGTTTGACGGGGATGACTCCAGCAACCACCAGGACGGCGGGTTCGAACACTGTTTGGTAGGCAGATGCTACCCTTAATGCTGCACTCTGGTGAGCCGCATCCTATATACCTCCTTATTGAGAGCATCTGCCCACACCTCCGCATAGTACCTCGTACCATAGTACCGCACGTCCTCCGTACGGACTGGACCGATTAACCAACATTAACAGCCTTATACGACTGTACCGAGGCCCTCCGACATTGACCATCAACCAGCTAAGAGAAGAAACCACCTTAGTGGCCTCGCCCGCCATACTGATGATCTGATCCCGCCAGCTAAGCTTGCTGTCCACCATAAATCCAAGGTACTTGGCAGTACGAACGGTTTGGACCTCGACGGCCCTGACCCTCATAGGCACGTTGGCGTCAATCCGTTTTGTTGTCAAAATCACTATCTCGGTTTTGCTGAAAGCGAGCGTGAGGCCGTGGTCTGCCATCCATGCATTTCTGGTACGCATAGCTCAGATGAGCTTTATCTGAGCCAGCACAACGCTACGTGCAGCTATCAAAGCTGCAACGTCATCTGCGTACCCAATCAAAACAGTTTCCTCAGGCATTTCAGACCTCAGAAGGCTGTCATAAGCGACATTCCAAAGGCCGAGTATGGAATCATTGACTATTTGATACTGAAGTACACTTCCCATCTATATAGACCAGCTGCAGGGAACTTTTTATTAAAAAAGAACGTAGTTGTGTGAGCCAGGCACAGAATGCGCTAGTGTCTAAAATTATATTTTATACCTTTTTTTTGCTGACCATGTTGAGGGCTCATAACAGTTGCTATAACTCATTATATGTCATTCCCTATGTTTGAATTGGTAAACAAGTTTATGTATTTAACAGAAATAAGTAATTTAGATCATCACAATTTGCAGGTGGCTCACATCAACTAGGACGATTTTGATAAAAAAACAAGCTACAAATTTAACATGGGGATGGAATGTCTAGTTGTATTAATAGTCAAAGATGGAACCTTGGGCAGCACCAGAAGTGACATTCATCGACCGCATACCTATACATGACATGAGTACCTATACATATATGTTGAGTTTCATTTTTAGCATTTGCAAATTCATTGTGCGTTCTACAAATTGTTATCTCCTTAGCGTTTTCTTTGTGTAATCCTCTTGTGCAAGTGTTTAAGTTTTGTTATTGAGATTATCAATAATTGTATTTCCTTTTTACTATAATTCAATTTGGATGAAATTTGGGCAGAGAGGTGCCAAAGGTTACCAACAACAATGAGAGTAAGAATACTAGAGGCTACTGGTAGAGGAAGGGTCCTTGTGAGTGTGTGCAGTGCACCTTGTACAAACAAGATTTATACACAAATTAATTACTTTTTAGCCAGTTTATGGTTACTTTTATACTTATTTCTATGGACCTTTGACAGAGTCAATCATACTATTCTATAAGGTTACTCTTCTGAAACAGTTGTAATGTCTTATTGTAATTATTTAAAAATTAATTGAGCAACTCATTTTCACAAATCCATTGGGTCGATGCATGAATGGATTGGCTGCTTGATGGACAGATTAATGAATTGGTTAACAGAGGGACTAACGGATGAAAGAATGAAAGATATTATTCAAACTAATGGATTATTAATGAATAACCATCAAGTAAACGGATTAAGAAATACACTAGTTCTTTATTTAGATACAATACATATGTTAATAGGTACATGACCTACATGACTGACATTCAAGGGGCTGCTTGGTCAACATCAACTAACTGACCTAGTGAGATTAGCCCCTTACGGTTTAGAAACCGAATGCCAAGAATAAAAACGTTTTTAAATTGCAATTACCTTCTAAAACAATCATAAAATATAGGGTCTTCCTTACGGAAAATCAAAGTTGGTGGCCACATTGGAAAAATGGTGGCTAAAATTATTTTTTCAACTTCACCAAATTTTTTTTAATAAACAATCCAAGGCAGTTACAATTTAAAATTTTGTTACATCACTTATAACTTTAAAATGAAATTGCTGGCGCACTTATTTTGATCACCCTGTATACAAAAGTAAATAAATCTCTTATCATAAAATATACAAACCCCTGCGATTTTCCCCGGCAGTATTTGCAGAAGAGAAATAGAGAAAGGATGAGGAGAAGGCCACCGATGATCCCAGCGAGGAGGACGTACAAGGAGACGTATTTGTTGTTGTGGGAAACCACCAGTCCTGAATGAGGTATCACGCCCTGTAACGATAAAGGAACGATAATACTCTAACTATTCAGGTGGAAAATATGGAACTTACCAAAATTTCTCTTTGGATCTTCCAAGGTGCTACTTCTCTACACCTGTGTGTAGTATCGAACCCTAAATATAATTCAGTTTGGACTCTGCTCGTAACCAATACCTGTGGTTGGAGTCATGGAATAATTCCAGATACTGTTTGGATACTAATTGAACACTATTAACATCACTATTATTTCCAATACTATTATTCATAAGGTTAGTACTACCACCGATTTCCACATCCAAAATATCCCTCTAGCCATTATTAGAAGACATAAATAATTTCAAATTTATGACGGCTGTCCATTAAATTTACTTTCAAACACATTTCACAATTAAGATACAGAGTTTTAACCGGTTAATCTTGATTAACTTTTTACCCTATACTAAGACGGATTTGAGAACTAATTTTATCTTTGAAAATATTGATTATTTTTTAATACCATATTTTAATAAACATAATATATAACTAGTTAAAATAAGTATTACGTTCTTTTATGTGTTGTGAAAAATATGTAAAAACTAATTTATGAGTAAAAGATTAAAGGTCTCTCTTGTTTGTGAATTCAGCTAATGATAACTAAGGTCAGCCTGGGGTCCTATGATGTTACATCTTTTGACGTAACACATTTTCTAGCAAACCTTATTTTTATAATATTCATAATATTATAATATTTATTTACTACATTGTTTTATATTATTCTTAGTATGTTTTGTTTTTAATAGATGTGTGTCGAAGAGCTCATAGTTATTATTTGCTTTACATTTACAGTTAAAAATTATGGGACAAAATAAACATAATTTTAAAATTATATACTGTATATAACACAATTTTGTAACAAGTTTATAAAATATAGCATTGCTTCAAATGAACAGTTGAATTAATCAATAAAAAATCTTTCCTATTGTATGCAGGTAAAGTGACTTTATGCCATTTTGGTATTCTATAAAGTATGTTTAGATTCATAACCAGTTAGTAAAAATAAACGTCGAGGAGCTACGATTGTGATCGAACTCCTATCACACACCCTACTGATGATTATAAAATTCATAGAGAATAATGCTGCAATTAACTAAATAAAAGTATCATTAAAACATTACATAAATGTTATTAGATCACTACTTGATGCTGTACTTACTAAACATTCGTATACATTAGCACTTTCACCGAAGACGTAAAAAGCAACTGCGTTTGAATACTTAGGTCGTTGACCTAAATGTAAATTATATACAAACATTAATAGTTCACTAATGGTACTGGCCCTGTAAAGAAAATCTGTGAAATAACCTTAACCTTCTGAAAGGTTTTCAAAAACACTTGGTATATATCGGAGTTATTGGGAATTGATGCATAATCTTATGGTGGGTCTTATAACGATCAACAATGCGTTGTTATTTCCATCAACAATGCTTTGTTATTTTTATCAACAATGCGGATTAAAAAAGGAGGCTAGAATAACGGAATAATTATTGAACTGTATTAAATAAACGAATACAACTTCAATATTGTTTTAATTAATCACCTAAGTGAAAACTCAGCAAACAGTGATTAAGACACAGAACATGGCGAGAAAATTGATCAAAGAAGTGGATAAAGATGTATCTTTTATTGGACTTGAAACAAGAGGATGGCGAAGAACCTATCTTCCAAGTTAAATTCAGATAAAGAGGTGAAATTAAGTTGAAAATGTAGTTTTTTTCGACCACCAGATCCACTTATTATATCTGATACAGGTGGTCAGGATAGGCGATTCAAAGAACAATTTCTAATCCATTTAAAGGCCACTGAATCAGATACTAAGTCTGAGGAGGTTAAAATAGAACAGTTGCTTAATGTAGCTGGTAGAGAAACATTATCAATATTCCAGACTTTTAAGCTAGGGAAAATATGTAAACTAAAGTTGAAAGATTTATTAGCCGCATTTGATAAACATTTTACACAAAAAACTAACGTATGTACCAACGATTCTTATTTTTTAAAGGGTACAGAAGAAAGGGTAACCATTTATGCATTTTTTAACAGACCTGAAAAAGTTAGCTAGTTATTGTGAGTTCGGTGATCAAGAAGATAGTCTAATTATAGACAGGCTATATTATGAATCAGGTATGAGTTTCTTCAGAAGTGAATTTTAAGAGTATCTAATCTTAGACTAGAGGAAGCCATTAAACAGTGTACGCCGTATGAAACCAGTAAGGAACACTTTAATGATATCCATAAGGAACTAAGAGTCAACTCAGTGAATTCCGGAGAGGCAAAAGCCTTATCCAATAGTGATTTAACTACAGGTATTAATCCATCAACTGGCGTTTATATTAAAGGAGAGCTAGTTCACAATATTAGTCACCAAGGACAAAGACCTCATATTGATAGGCATTTTGAAGTAGGCCTACAACCTAACAACTTTGTCCCAGTAACAACAACTACACAAAGCCAAGACCTCTTGACGACAATCATAATCAACCATATCTGTGTAAGAAGTGTAACTCTAAACAAGTAAGAAGGCGTTGTCCGGGAATTAACAGACGTTGTAGAAATTGCGAGGAGCTAAACCCCTTTGCAGTAGATGGTAAAAAACGTTCCAGTGAGACTAAATCTCAAGACAGCCGTGTTGATGATGTTCGTCAAGTAGGCCTAACACAAAATTACTCTCATTTCATGATGTAAATTCACCTTCTATCAATAATTCTTGTTATAGTGCTTGGTTTCAGCCAGCCATTGTAAATTATTTTCTAGTTGATTTCAATTTGTATAGCGGCGAAGAAATTAATTGGCTACCTTAATATAATGTGCTTAAGCTGTGTATGGACAGTAGGCCTAATAATTTAAGTAAGCCTAAGATTGATGATTGCGATGTTAAACTAGAGTCGTATGGGGGATTTAAATTAGAAACTGTAGGGAAAGCCACACAAAAATGTCAGATAAGTAACGTAGAGTCGTATGTAGAGCTTATTATTGAAAAGTTACAAATGCATAACTTTATTAGGCTTAAAAACCTGTGTAGATCTTGGTATAATTAAAAGGGTTTATGATGTAAATGTTCAAAGTAAGGATGTTGGAATAGGATGTTTCCCAACAGAGTACCAAATTAGGCTTAAGGAAAACGCCATCCTACCGTGGAGTAGAGTGCATAAAAAATCTCCCTGATCCCAAGACCAAAAAAGAACCCCAGCAAGTTCTCGGTATGGTCAACTACTTTAGGGAGTTCATCCCTAACTTTTCAGATGTAACTAGCCCTTTGAGAGAATTAATTGTTGAAAAAGTGTTGTATTCCATTATGTCAAATTAATCCTAATCAAAAATGTTTTGTATATATATATTATCTAATAAAGTTTCAGTAATTACGTTTGGCTCAGATGGCAACACTGTGCTGTTGCACAAACTAAAAATGAAGACTTCCGTTTCAAAAATGAATCAGAGATCAGCATAATGTAGTATGTTGAATCGAAAGTTAAAAGGTGAGTTGGTAACTTTTGAGGGACAAAAATCAATTTTCATTTTATATTTTTAACTTATTCCCCATTTTATTCTCTTCAAGAATATATATAACAAAATACTCATAGCAAAATACTCAATACTACCCCCCATTCTATACTTAAAATAAAATCTTTGGTATGAAAAGAAAAAAACATATGTGACTCAATATTTATGACAATACAAGGGTTGTGTTTAAGGGCGATTTCCCGAAAGTTGTGTTTTTATTAGGTTAGGTACATTTATTTTAAAAACAACTAAATATACATCAATGAAACTTAATGGACATCTCAAGGACTACCATATGAAGCCACCATAGCACTTTTTTAAAGGGTATGTTGTATGAAAAAATGTCAACATCCCTTGAAAAAATAAATATTAAAAATAATTTTGTTTTTAGATTTAAATTTGATTTATTCTTTCAGTAATAATTTATTTACAGCAGTGAATTTAGGCATAAAGTGTTACCAATATACATGTGAAAATGTTGTGCAAATTTGGTATTGGTATCTGAAATAGTTAATTAGATAATGATACATAAAGGTAAGCTTGATTTCCCTTATGCATTGGGGGCGAAAAGGTGCAACTCCCCTCCACATTGTGTATTGTGTTAATAAGTTAATTTAACTGTACCTATTTAATAAACTAGTACAACTTCAATAGGGTTTTAATTAATCACCTAAGTTAATAATCGGTAAACAGTGTTGAAGACACCGAACAAAAGCTACGATCTGTAAGCCGTCGTACTTTGAATGAAAAATACATGGTTTTAAAAATGGTTACTAAACAGTATACCATCGTATATTTCCAAGCCAGAAGGTGTCTGGTTTATTATTTAAATCTTACAACAATGTCTTCATTACGATTTGATTATTCATAAATGCAATGTAACCACACAATTTGGCTGACCCTTTATTTATTTTTTAAATTTGATTAATTAATCATTACCTAAAGGGTAAAAAGCGCGATCTTTAATCTTCAAATTGAAGAACTAGTAGAAGAGAAGAACTGGAAACAAATAAACTTATACATAAAATAAGGAAATTTAAATAAACAGTGAGCAGAGAACATGTAAAGAGCTTGGTTTATGTCGTGTTCTATTCCAAATATGCTTGGTTTACTAAATTGTACATCTTTAGTGGCTTTGTAAGCTAAACAAGCTAAAATGTAATATTAGACTTTTAACATTAATTATTAAATTTACATTAGTTTATAAGAATAAACTCACCTAGATCAATATTCACAGTTATCTAGAAAAAGTGAAACTACTAAATACAAAAGCGATGTCCAAGGCTGCTCAATCTACAATGAGACGGATTCATATAAAAAACTAATTTAAAAGAGCAATTACTGTGATTAAAACTGGTTGTAAAAAATTCAACGCTTGAAATTATTAAAAGTTTTTTGCCGCATACAGCTAGCCATAGTTTAAAATGTCCCATAAAGTCAACTCGATGAAGCTAGTCAGATGTTTCTGATTTTCCAGCA